CCTGTAATATGTAAATTATCCCACATTTCCCACTAGTAGTGCATACATATTTGAAAATGCTTATTAGCCCTACTGTACATGTATCTTCACCTTTGCATGCTTCCTGTTTTTAAAAATATATAGAAATACTAACCACCTGACATAAAATTAAAATATTGTTGAATTGCTATCACCAGGGGGAAGAGAGTCACTGTTTTTCATAGTACGTGTATTCTTATTTACTATGTGTACATAAAACAAGAACAAAAAAAATACTTTTATTTAATGAACAGGGCCTTATTGTCAAAAAAGGACAGGGATAAAATTCCAGTGGAGAGAAAGGAAGCACTGAGGACAATAGTGAAGGATTTTTATGGAGTCGCTGATCTCTCTGATGAACTGTTAGAGGAGGCGTCTGATATGGACTACAGGTAGGATATCTATAACTCCATTACTGTCAGAAAATCGTCAGGTCAAGTGTCATCACCTGCTGTGTAATAATATGTTGAAGGAAAGATTATCTGAAACTTTTTTCTCCTTTAACCTTGCTATGACAATAAAGAATGATGTTTCTTGTAGACAGTAACATTAAAAGTCAACTTCAAATCTACCCTTAATTGGATTTTTGGATTTTTATCTTACATGGCAATATTTTTGTGATGGTAGGTCATTGTTCAACATGTTTTGATTACATGAATGTGTAGTTTTTTTAAGTAAACAGTTATACCCATTTATATTGGTAACTATATTTATATTGATGGGTACAATGAATGGTCAATTTACTCTTCCCATTAAAAGAAGACCCAGGCAGACATCAGTGTTACATTTATATAGGGATTTTCCACACACTTTTGGGAATGGGACCCAGGCCCTTGGAATTGGGAATTTAACGACATTTTTTCATTAATTGGGAAGTTTTATTGTATGATGTTTTTCAAGAAATAAACACTAAGATGAATAAAATTGATGTTTTACATAATTATTATAGAACTATGAATCAGAGAATTGATCATTACAATAAAGTTTTACCCAATTTCCAAACCTGACCATGTTTTTATTTCGTGAATTATGATCTAGTTAACTTCTGAAGTTCTTCTGCATTCAAAAATTGAACATACGCAGTTCATTTTTTGGAAAAAGGGAGGGGTTTTGCAGTTGGGAATGGGGCCCTACACTGGGTAGTGGAAAATCCCTGTCATATCATGGGCAATTAAATAAATTCGAACCATGCAACAATTAATCTATTTTAATATCTCTCAGAATATTAGTTTTAATGCAGGGAGACAATTCATAATGTCTCCAAAAAAAATAGTGCAAGTGAACATGCAGCTTAACAAGAGTTTGTTTTCCTGTAGATGAAAATTGAATTTTTGTACTAGATAAACATTAAATAAACAGGGGCCCGTTTTACAAAAGAACTTTCGACTAAGATTAAAAACTTTTGTTGATAATAAAAGTCAGAAAAATCAATGATTCAGTTTAAAATTGTTATCAAGAAAATATCTTTCTACATTCCTTTTAAAAAGTTTAAAGTCGTTTTCAATTTAATGCAAATAAGAAAGTTATAAGCAGAATGAATATTGGGCTTTTCGCATGAGAATCTTTCCCTTCAGCTATTGATTACATCATGTCCTACATTGTCAAAATTTAAAAAAAAACCAAATTTGTCTAGTTTAGCCTTTACTAAACATTTTGACTTCAAAACCAATAGGCGAGTTGTCACGTAGAATTTAATTGCAAAAGTGCAAAGGCTTCTTGAGATATTGCTTGGGAATGAAATTGTTACAGACACAAACGGTAGGATGTACAGAAGGGCGGTGGGGGGCAGAGGGAGTTATGGTATAAAATTTAATTGCAAAAACTTTTAAAAAGTTTCTTGAGATATAGGAAAATCTTTAAAAATCTTCTCAAGAACCACCTGGCCAGAAAAGCTGAACCTTACTTATCAGCATCTTGGGGTAGTGTAGATTCTTAATTGTACAAATCATGGCCATTTGGGGTAAGGTGGGGCCTTAATACTGTATGCAGGGTTATTTTCGCCCCGTGTTATTTTCGCCCTTTGACATTTGGAAACAAGTTTGTTCCATTTTAAATTTGCCCAGAAAGATTTTTGTTTAAGATATTATACTGTTTACTTAGAATTCGTCTTTTTTAAATTCGCCCACTTCTGACGGGCGAAAGGGGCGAAAAATTTCCCTGTATACAGTAGTTTATACAAGGGTAGAATCAGGTGAAGAACAGCATGGTCAGTGAGACTCAGTGAGTGTTGTGGTACATGGGCTTCTTGTTAGCTCATCTGAGCTGAAGGCTCAAAAGAGCTTTTCTGATCACATTTTGTCCGTCGTCCGTCTGTCTGTCTGTAAACTTTTCACATTTTTGACTTATTCTCAAGAACCGTTGGGCCAATTTCAACCAAACTTGCCACAAAGCATCCTTAGGTGAAGGGGATTCAAATTTGTTCAAATGAAGGGCCATGCCCTTATTCAAGGGGAGATAATTGGGAATTAGTGAAAATTTGGTGGCATGATTTAAAAATCTTCTTCTCAAGAACCACTGTGCCAGGAAATATGAAACTTATGGGAAAACATCCTCAGGTAGTGTAGATTCAAGTTCGTTAAATCATGACCCCAGGGGGTAGGGCGGGGCCAAAATGGCCCATCAAAGTTTTACATAGAAATATAAAGGAAAATTCTTTAAAAATCTTCTTCTCAAGAATAGCAAAGCCATAATTGATCATATTATTTGGAAGCATCCTCAGGTAGTGTAGATTCAAGTTTGTTCAAATCATGACCCCCAGGGATAGGGCGGGGCCACAATGGGAGATCGAAGTTTTACATAGATATATATAGGAAAATTCTTTAAAAATCATCTTCTCTAGAATAGCAAAGTCATGATTGGTCATGGGACTTCTTTTGGATTTAAACTTTTCAATAATAAACCATTTTCTACTTTTTTCCTAGCCACAATGGTCTCTTGTTACAATATGGGATCAGATCAGTGGGTAAGGAAAACACACAAGAGTTTTGTCAAATTTTATTCTTTATTTTATAAAATTTACATTATTCAGGATAATAAAAATACAATGAATAATGAATGGTTTTATAAAGAGACATCAAAAATTATCAGGTCTGTGTAGGGTTGTTATCTTTGGGTGCTAATGCCCTCTGGTGACAACCCTAATCAGATCTGGTAATTTGTGATGTCTTCCAACTAAACAATCTATTATTGTATGTTATCATTTTTGCACAAGTTTTTTTGTGCATTGAAGTGATGATATGAAACATTGTGATTTTGAATTTTTATCAGAAGATCAAAGAATCTTACACATTCAGAAATTCACATGACTTTAAATTGTTTCTAAAACAATTCTTAGCTCACGTCAGTGGGTTAGGTACAAAATACCTTTAGTGTTACCTTACCAGGTTAAAGTTTTTGAAGCAATTTTTTTTCAAGTACTTCAGAAATATGTTCTATATTACCAGGTAATCATTATCTGAGATGCATGGAGGATGCATTTTGTATACATGTATTTCATTGTACCATTCAAGGTTTCAGATGCTGCAATTTCACCTAAAGAATGACCAGTTAAAGGTTTTAGAGCAGGTTAAAGATCTGGGAGCAGGTCTCATTTCAAAGTAACTATAAGCCTTATGTTGACTGACCAAACTTGCATGGATGACAAATCTAAGGATGCACACTACTGTACTTACATCAGATGCTGGATCTGACATATATTTTCCAGATGATTGACCAGTTAAAGTTTTTGGAGCAGCTCCATTACCAAGAAACCATAAAGCCAATCCGAACCAAACTTGCATGGATGAAGACTCTCAAACTTGCTTCAGATGCTGGATTTGAATTACTTTATCTGGTAGAGTGACTAGTTAACATTTGTTAGGAAAGTTCTTTCTATAAAAGTAACTGCAAACTGTATTCGACCAAACTTGTATTAATGTTACATCTAGGAATGAAGACTACTAGATTATAGATTTATTGTCAGACTTTGTCTTACTTAAAAGCAAAATTTGTTGAGGTGAGCTCTATAATATCTTGTAAGATCACCTGTCTTACTCTGTAGAGGCACAATAAAATTTACTGGTTTCAGTTCCAATACTATATTCATCTTGCTGGGGAGAAATATGACTAAGGCAAGTGCTGTGGCCATTGGGCCTCATGTTGTACACAATGGTGGACAACACCTGTGAATCTAATTCTTCATCTTGATTTTAGTGAAAGTGTGAAGATAAGAGAGAACTGTCTGTTTATCATTTAGATTGTTAGCTTGTTATGAAATCAGTTTTCCAAATATTTTCAATAAAGACCTTTAAAACAAGCCTGTATTTAATACATTTATCCTATCCTTATCACAACTGTTTACCTGGGTCTCAGTAACTTTACAGTAAATAAAGCCAATCTTTGTACGCTAACCTGAGCCCGGACTTTTTCAGGACAATCAATGATCAGTATTTCCCTCACGGCAAAGCAGTTCTACGACATGTCAGAAGAAACGGGGGGATCTATAATTTTGAAAAACGTTGGAGACAACATTTTGTGGACACTATGAAACCCAGCTATCTACCTCCAAAGTGGTCGGTTGACCACAGACATGAAAGAAGTCATCTTTATTCATAAGAGGTCATCTTTATTCATAAGAAGTCATCTTTATACATAATAACAACAGACCTTTGTGGCATGTTGCTTAGTCAGGCTGATAAAGGTACTCTCAAGAAGTCCTGTTTTTTGGCAAAAAAAATTCAAGCACTGTGATGTTCAAAAAGAAAAGCTTGAAGCAAATACTTTTAGTCATAATTCAGATCTACTGTACATGTTCATTTGTTTTTGTACATATGTAATGGCAATTTTAAAGGACTGGAGCTCTGATATTATGTAAATAAACATTTATTTATTATTTGGGTGTTATATTTTGTTGTAGATTTATATACATTGAGATGGTATCATAGATTACTGTGCGGAATGTATCAGAAAAGTAATTGAAAATGAGAGAGATACTTGCAATGCAAGAAAAAGTTTTCTCATCTGTTTCTAATTAATTTTACATTCATTATGTTTACTTTTTATAAAAACACTGAAAGTCCTTTACTGTTTGATCAAGCACAGCTTTCCCATTTCCCTTTAATGGCCGCCTTAGAAGTAATGCAAATAACAAAGATTAAAGGGATACAAAAGGTGTCAATTAATATAAAAATTGGAATGATACAGGTTTTATGTGGTTTTAACTTCTTTGAACAGGAAAACATTATTCAGGATTAGTACCTTTACTGATATCAATCAATTTCAAGCAAGAATATACATGTACATGTTTTTAATGTTTGACCTTTAAATCTACTCAGCAGATCTCAGATTCTCCTGTACTGTACAATTAATAACAGATAGTATTAGACTGACTTGTTTTCAAAATAACACAGTAGTTTGCTTGCAATGCCAAACCATATACCCTGCACATATTTTTGAATCAAAATGTGTTGTAAGGTTCAAACAATCAAAGAAGTACTGCACCCTTAACAAGTAGGTTGTTTCAGCACCTATAAGACTGAGAAAGTCCATATTCTAACATAGTTTACTTAGAATTTAATGACTTTTTTTTGTTGATGCTTGGATTTGTAAACCTTAACCTTGAAACTTCAAAGGTCATGTCCATCAGTATAAGACATTAATTTATATGTGGCTATACTGCCAGAGTAACAAATGTCAGGATGACAAGCTCTTTAAACACTATTGGAGTAGGACAGCCCACTGTTGTATCACCATTTGTGTTATATTAATATTTGAACATTTTTAGCTTCTTCTGTGGAACCATTGAACCAATTTTTGCATATAGCAGCTGTGGATGAAAGGGACAGAATTGTTAATTTTCTGGTCCCTGACTTCAATGGGGCCTATCTTCTTTACTCCTGGACATTAAACGTTAATCTGTTGGCATGATAAAGTGATTGTAATAAGCATTGAACCCTCTACAAAAATTGTGAAATTGGTGAGTAAAGGGTACAGCTAGGATGTACATGTAGGAAGGCACTCCTAGACTTGTTACTTGGGCTTGTTATATAGAGGAAATACTAACAGTTTTCAAAAATCTTCTTTCTTCCTGAATGTTTAGCAAACGATTTTTCCATTCCGTAATATTTTCTCCTTTAAAAAATACAAATATGAAGTTGAAATATTTATTAATGGGATGAGAACATTTCGGAATGAATAAAAATTATCTTTTCTTGGAAGTTAAAAAAGGGATCTGATCATGAGTCGGGCCATTTTTGGTCTGTTGGTACAAGCAAGCAAACAAGAAGATGGGTGAACAATGCGTGCAGAATACCTGTAACCTCAGATATAAAAACCAGAAGTCTCTGTCGAGACTGAAGCTCTACTGGTTTGTACTTACAGCAAAGGAAGAGAAAAGCACTTAAGCAGTTGGGAATTGCTTTACAACAGCAATAAATAGAATAATGATCCTTGATTAGGTCTCTTAATGTTCTTAGTGTAGTCTACTTGCATGCCACATTATATTATAATCAAACTAAAACGGTATTTGGAGTAGCATTTTGAGAGTATTTAACAGAAATTTCTATTTTTAGTGACCAAGGCAATAATATTCATCTAAGTCAAAAACTGATAAGCAGAATTGTGTATCTTAGTGTAGTCTACTTGTGTGCCAAGTTATATTGAAATCAGACCAAAACTGTAGGACGAATTGCATTTTGAAAGAATTTCAAAAAAATTTCTATTTTTAGTAAACATGGCAACACAGTTCATCAAAATTAAAAAAATGATAAACAGATTTATGTATCTTAATGTAGTCTAGTTGTGTGCTAAGTTATATTGAAATCAGACCAGAACTGTATGAGATGTAGCATTTTGAAAGAATTTTACAGAAATTTCTATTTTTAGTAACCACGGCAACACCGTTCATCGAAATCAAAAACCGACACATAAAATGATGAATCTTAGTGAAGTCTACTTGTGTGCCAAGTTTTATTGAAATCAGACCAAAACTGTAGGAGGAGTAGCATTTTGAAAGTTTTTGAAAGAAATTTCTATTTTTAGTAACCACGGCAACACCGTTCATCGAAATCAAAAACCGATACACAGAATTATGTATCTTAGTGTAGTCTTCTTGTGTACCAAGTTATATTGAAATCGGACCAAAACTGTAGGAGGAGTAGCATTTTAAAAAATTGTTTACAGACAGACGGACAGCTAGACAGACAAACGGACGCCGGACGCATTACTATCGCATAAGCTCTTCTGGTCTCTGACCAGTAGAGCTAAAAAATCACATTCATTTTTTTTTTCACTTAGTCTTTAAAGTAAACTCGTTATTGAAATCATGATAAACAAGGCTTTTCCGAAAGATAAAAATCTCGGGAAAAGTTATTCTCTAATTTAAAGATAAAATTGTATTCGCGAGATTCGAACCCTAGCAATAAAATTTTAGTGTATCATTTTATTTTGAGACTAACACGCTAACCATTTCGTTACACAGCTACTGATCATGGAGTTTTTAAATCATGTTTGTGATGTGATCCTTCGGGTAATGGACTTAAGTATTCGTCAGGAAGATGCGAATGTTTTGTTATAGAAGTGTAGTTTAAAGTCATATAGTTGGTCTTTGCTCCATGTTTTTTATCCAAAAATATATATTTTATGCAAACATTTAGGATTAACCTTTTTCAAAGAATGGAGCGAAGACCAACTCATATCGAAAATTTTGGTTAAGTTTGAGAAAATTATCCTTTTTGTCCGCTTTAAATGTGTGTGTGCTATTTCATAGTCAAATAATGTCAGTTTTTGTGAGATATTTTTAATTGTAGGGATTTTACATAAAGTTTACTTTAATTTAAGATTAAATATCTAAGAATATTTTAATATAATGTAGATTTCATTTTTCACTTCATGTTTGTCGCATTGTAGAGTACTAGGCATTTCGTCTGCCTTAATCACCCATCTTCTTTAAAAAGATGGCTTCAAATTTATTTTGTTTAACATTTAAAAATCAAGTTGTTCCAATATAACTTACTTTACTACTTACTTATCCTCTCCGTGCCCCGGAGGACGCATGAGGGCGTTCAACAAAGAACGCCACGTACGGTGGTCACTGGCAACAACCTGTCCCTCCTTCCAACTGTTCCAACCCAGTTCTTTTTCTCTCTCAACAGAGCGTCGCCAGGTGATCTTTGACCATCCTCTTCGTCTTGCCATCATTCTCTCGAAGGTAATCCTCATCTGGAGTCTCGCATGTCGCGCTTGCCCTTCCTTCAGTGGTGCTAATTTATTGTAACGGTTTCCGTAATCAATTGTTTTTATGGAAGGAGGATATAAACCTCAAGTCCAAACTCCAAGTTTATGTCGGGGGGGGGGGGGGGGGGGGGGGGGGGGAAGCAACATAGTAATTGCTAACGGTCTCCTACTAAATTCTAAATCCGGATTGTAATCAGAGTTTTTTCCCCTAGATGAGTTGCCGACCAAGGCTTTCAAGCCTCATCTTCTCGTGCGCCCTTGCAAAGTTAGCCTGGGGCCGTATGGTGCTCTGTATCCGTCTGCTTCCATGTGGAGGCATCGTATAGGACTTAATTGTTATGGAGAGGCAATGTACTAGCAAGGGAAGACTTTCAAATTGCTTCCCTTTTCGCATTGCTACTAGCCAGCGGTGAGGGCTGAAAGCGAGAGGTGACAAGACAACAACACCAACGACCTCAGGCAACCAGTTTGGTTCTTGGGTTCCACAAAACGCACATTGCCCTCGAATAATGTTTTAAAACTGGGCTTGGACACAGTTACATTGGTTACTTCAGCTTTTGATCACAAATCCTAAATTGCACTTTTATCCTTTATGTTAAAGAAAAATGGGGACGGGGGTTGTTGTGTAATAATGTGTCATGTTGTAAATTTTGAATATACTGGTTGGCAGTAAATACAACATTTTCAACATGACAACAATTTTTTGGCGATTTTCATCTATTTTCATTTATTCTTACACTCTTGGGACTTTCATATATTTAAAACTATTGCAGTGGGGCATTTTGTCACCCTGAACTATCTGTTTTCTTTAATGGTCATCGTCAATTTACAGTAAGTTAAACCTTTGGTCTTTACTGCGACTTTCATATTTGATAATTCGAGTCGTATGAATTGTTGCCAATATATGCTAAACATCTTGTTTGGGTTTTAATTTCGGTGTGACAGAGTGCACTTCAAAAAATAAAATGTTTTGCTTGTCTACATTGATATTAATGATGCAAATAAATGGTTTGCACTCTTTTTGCATAGTAGTAATCAAATACCTCAAACGAAATTCAAATAAATTTTATGAAAGAAATTCATTTTTTTTTTAATATTAAATAGAATGCATTTTTTATTTATTGCTGTGTTCTATTTTTCGAACAAATTATTATGTTTTTTTTATTCAAATAACTACATTTTTATTTTCTTTATTGCAAGTTCTTTCTGTATAATATGTTTAATATTGCTTTATTTAATATCTAGGGTAAGGGTCTGAATTTTTATTTTCATGCAAGTTACCATTTCTTTTCCTTTGCGCGCATTTACGTAAATCCTGTGATGAAGCGTACTTGTTTTTTCTGTTGTTTATATAGACCTCTATCAAATATTTGTTAATCATTTCAATTTATATTTAATATGTACGAATTTATTAAAAGCCATTTCCGTTTATATTGATCATGTTGATATTCGAGTCAATTGCAAGAATAGCCAGTCTATACCCCATCGCTGACTTTAAAATAATTTTGATGGGGGATTAAAATCAAATTTTACAAGGGCCCTCGAGCAAATCATTTGTTTGATATTCATGTGGCGATACTGAAAAGCAACACATCGATAACATACTGCGTTCACTTAAAGCTTGTCCATGTAGGAAAATAAATCACTGATTAAAATAACTGATGGCATGTATATGATTGACCCGCGGGCTGTTTTTAATTAAGTTAGGAATAAACTAATTTATTTTTAAGAATTTTATTCATATTTCCCTGAAAATAATATTGTTTTTTTTTACTAGACAGAGTAAATAAATAAAGACTAGACGCTTATACAATCATTAATTGTCATATTTCTATAGCGTAGATCTCCGCCCGAGGCTTGATGATTACTACTTTACTTGTTTGTTTATAAATAAATAATCTGTTACATACATGTATGTGGTTATAGGCACTCTTTTATCAATGATTGATTGCATAAACATGAACACAAAATGTACATACTTATGTACACTCATAAAGCCACAATGAGGACATTAAACTGGTCACGTGTCATCGGCTTGTTCCCTCCGATTTCTTTACTACGTGAATACACACTCAGTTGTACGGCCGTGGGAGCTAAAGAAAAATGTGTTCAATATAACAAGGCCAGTTATCGGGACGGCTAGGGGCTAATTCGAATTCATATTAAAGTTTCAAAAATGACTGGAATTTTTATTCAGTGGATTGTCGCTTTTGTTTTTGCAGGTAAGCGTTTAATTTATACCACTAACACTAGTTGTCAGATTGACATGCTATTTGATAAAACAGCCGTATTCATGTGTCTTAATTGAGTTATCGCAGTTTTGAACAAAACATATGCATCACTACTGTACACTCCACGGTTCTGTTTTATAATGCACATGCAGACTTGTCATACTATACATGACGTACACTCTTGCAAGAGAGAATGTGTAAAGATTTCAGAGACCCCAGGAGGGAAGAAGATCTCCCTCCCCCGCACCTCTATCAAACCTGGGAGAGCAACTCGATCTTTGAGCGCGGATCTACTTGGAGCGACAGAGGAGTTTCTTCCTTTAAGTTTTTGAAGAAGTCTCATTCCAAGTTCGAAAGGATTACTATTTTTGAACAGTTGAAAGGGACATTCTGCTCATTAATTCTGTAGCATTAATTTAAAACGTTTGTGAATTTTACAGCAAGGCCTATATAAACTGTTTAACACCACTGACCCCCACCCCCACACACCCCTTCTACTTCGCTGGTATGTACTAGTCTGCATGCTAGTAGTAGTTAACACTCTATACAAAAGGTCTTTGAACGCTTACAAAAATGCTGAGCTTGACTAAAGGGGTTGGGTGGGGTGTTAAACTGTTTGTACGTACCCCCTAGGTTTGGTAAAAAACAAACCCTCAAGATTGCAAAGGAAAAAGTGTGCATATATAACTTGAATGTTGTGCTTTATCAGACTTGTCCAGCATATTTTCAATTCGATTTAAAAATGTCAAAATATCCTTTGTTGACATGAAATAGAAAAATAAGTGATTAATTTTCCTTCCACCTGCTTGATAATTAATGAAGTAGTTAAAATTACAAATAAAACGTCAATTTCTTTTTCCTTATAATAAAGTTAATCCTTAAAAAACTGTTTTCATTTTAAAAACTATGATATATTTATCTAGCCTTTTTAACAAGGAATTATTTTTTAAAAAAAACTGAAAAATATGAAAATTCTATAGGGCCTATTTGGAAATAAGCTCTCGAGCTTTAATGAGATATCCTGATATCAAAGTCAAGTGGAATAATATTTCAAAAATATGGTCACATTGATATTCATTCCTTCATAAATGTATGTGAAATTTCTGGATTTCCAATATTGTCTTTCGAATGAATATGTATAAATATTTATATTTGTTTCATGCATGTGATGGCCTGATGCCAAATAAATGATGCATGATGCTCTGTTTGAAAATATATGTGTAAATTGAAGGTTGATTTTAATATAAGATAAATTTTAGCCATTACTATTTCTTTTATAAAATCGTAGTTCTGAATAGCGTTTATGTAACTCCCTTATTATTCCAGATCGTCTTACTATATCCTGATCTTGAGTTAAATAAAAATGTTAAATAAATTCACCGACACGTTTTTGTTTTTTTTTTTTTTTGTTTTAGATTTATGTCTTTTAAAAGTTACCCTACTCCAGAAGCTCCCCCCCCCCCCCCAGTCAGGAAGGTAAAATCATATGTGACCATCTTCATAAGTCACTGATCTAACTTTAATCCCTTCATATTTGTTTTTTGTTTTTTTTTTAATTGGAAATTGGTTTTAATTTATAAAATCCCTTAACATCAGAATAACAAAAGATCATTATGTGACACATAACTATTTAGATTTGAACACGATGTGGTTGGGGATTCATTTCCAAATTATTATTTTTTAAACAACAGGTTGATTAATTTACATTATTCATTATTTATTATTTGTTGAAACGGAAAGGAAAGTCAAACAAAAATCATTTTTAAACTTCCCAGGTAGTTTTGCAAACAAATATATCTATGATGTATATAAGAAAGTCACTTTTTTTTCTCACCATCGACTCCGACAAGTTTAAAAAAAAATGAACTTCCACTTTACTGGAAGACTTAAAATAAAATATTTCCTCTAGAGCTATAGTACAACTAGTTGTCCGCTTATATGGATCAAGCAGCGAATAACAAGTTCGTGTCGGTCTGACTAATAGTGTCTGTCCAGTTACAGTATTTCCTTGTACCTATTTCCTTGACGTCGGACGCAGGATAAGAACCGGAAATGAGTATATTCGTGTACAGTGTACATAGGGTCGCTGTGTTTTCCTGTATTTGTATTCTGTTTAAATTTAATTTTAAAAACGGCCTTCAAATCAAATTTCCCACAGGCCATTGAAAGATATGGGCTAAAATTATTCTATAAGGATGTAATCCGAACAATTACCTCCATATATTTTACATCAAGTTTTTTTGTATGATACATATGTGTTCACTTTCATTGCACGCAAGACACACAATCTAGATATATGATATTTATGGGGGTTTGGGGTTTTTTTGTTTTTTTTTTGCAATCAATACAGTTAATCTTTTTGGAGAAATGCAAATAAAATTTGGTGTCGCCCAGGTAAACCCCCAAAAGTTGTTATAAATGTAGTAAGGTACAGTTCTGTTAGACCCCCTAAATCAATACTAAATAAGTGTATCAACCTCTTTTGTTAAAATTTTGAGGACAAATAGTTATTAAAAGGTATCGTCTCCAGATGTGTAAAAAATGTCCCGTTTTCCTTAATACATTGTACACCAATTAACATACGTTACAGAGATATCCGAACAAAGGTACAGTAGTAAATGTATTACAAAACATCCTACTGTACAGACCGCGAAAATCAGCAATCTTCACGAAAACTGCGTATCATTTTAAAGTTAAGGTGACAATACGCTATTTATGTATGCGTATTTCGGAGGTCAAAAAGACGTAGGTTTGAAGTTTACAACCATTCTTTTGTTATCATTAATTTAAAAAAAATTGTCATCTGAAAAAAATCCAGAAACGCGTTTTCTGACGGCTCGTCACATTCGTTATTTTACATTATTCATCGACTGTCGAACATATCTATATTTGACCAGTTTGATATTCAAGTCGGTTGTGTAATGCTAAATATAAGCATGTGCACATACTCTATTTAGCATTACACAACCGACTTGAATCAAACTGGTGAAATATGTGCGAATTGTCGACGTATATGGCATATGAACCCTTCGCGCCCCCCCCCTCCCCCCTCTCCTTCCTAATCGCCATCCCAATATATTTTTGACATATCACTGATTTTAAGACATATATTTTTAACTTCAGAGAATAGATCAAATATGGATGATCAAATAAGTAAAATTCACCATATTCACTTAAACTTTCAAGAAAAACCGTGTTCATACTGCATGTGTGATTTTAATTATCAAGTGCGTATTTGTACTAACATGTATATAAAGAATATAAAAATGCATACTTTATTCTCTAGTTGTTTCTACAAAAGCGCAATCAACTTTAATTGGAAACATTAAAATGAAAGGAGTAACTGGCAATGTGACCTTGACCCAGTCATCTCAAGGTCAGGCTATAACAGTGACCACGTCATTATCGGGGCTGAACCAGAGTAACACGATGATTATCCGGGAGGCGCGGCTGTTATACGACGGATCCGCCACTATGTGTTCTGACGATCGTCTGGGTAGGCAGTAAGTGTGTGCATAGTAGGTCAGCCGTCATATCTTTAGACACTGAGTTACATTTAATGTGACAAAAAGTTAACCTACATTTGAAAAAGAGGGGTTAAAAACAGTAGAATTACATTGTATTTTACGTTGTTTTTTTCAAGTTTCCAAACAAGAATGAACTGGAATTCCACAGTTTGTTGGGTATTATTTATTTCACGCTTTCGTATTTGTTACTGTATAGTAGAAATAAAAACTAAGTGAATGTCATGCATTTTAATCCATATATCTGATAAACACGCAAAAATACCCAAAATATACATTAATAAAAAGTAAATGATACTCCATCAGGATAATATCATGAATATTATGTGTACACTGTAGGGAGTAATATCATTATTTTGTAATAATTTCAGTCAATACTTGTCCTGACTGTCAAAATCTCATTCGTGAGGAGAGACAATATACTCATTCTTAATCAAACATAAAACAAAAAAAACCTTGCTAGAAAAAAATTATCTCCATACAATGCTGTGTTTTGACTTTCTCTTACATGTATATACTTCACTCAACAATGGACAAACAAATTATGGTAAACGGTACTTCGAAATAAGAATAAGAATGGCTCTTTTTACCATAAATTACGGTGTGAAGTCAGTTTAAGGTCAGGAATAATTGCTTAGTAGACACACAATCTACCTGTCTGAAGGAAAGTGACTCTGAGTAGGGAACACACAGGTATATCTTGTTTGTTTACAACATGTACAAACATGGGTAAATCTGTCATTTCAGAATGGGGACTTTCAGTGCAACTGTACCCAGCAGCGGAACAAGCACCAACAGTATCAGTGATGGCACCGATATCCGTGATTTAACAGGTGCAACAAATTCATAATAAAATCCTAATTTCATTTTTTGCTTTCAATTGTCAAATGCACAATTTTTAAGTTTTGGAAAATACGAGTACAAAGTACATGTATATGAATTCTTGATTTGAACAAGAGACGTGGTTAATACATGTTCTTACTCAAAGGTTTTATTTTCAGGGAGATCTGTAGTCCTAACGGACACAACAAATCCCAACTCCACAGTCTGCACAACCCTGGAATCAAGCGAAACACATTTTACAGCTTCTGCTATATTCCCGTCTAATATAGCCGGGAAGATCACATTCCGACAGGCCAGTAGTCCGAACAACGCTCCAATGTCAATGTGTGTCGACCTCTACAGAGTGACCGACACAGACAATACAACTGTAGGGGAATTCAGCTGGGAGGTATTCACAAAATCGGTCTCTGCTGACACCTCTATCGTTGCTCTCAGTCAAAGGTGTTCAAACATTGGGTCCCTAGACACAGACCTAACATCAACACATGGCAAACTTAGTGTAAGCTTGCAACAAGGACAGAATGTTCGATGTTTTGTTGATAAAAGTCTTACTATGCAGTCCTTGGTTGGAAAATCCCTGGCAATCAAATCCAGCGATGGAACAATCGTCTCATGTGGAACTATCCGTCAGGTCATGAAAAGAAGCACAATGACCCGGTTCAGTAGAGATGGGGTCAAAGGTTACATAAAATTTTCCCAAGAATCCATGTATGATCCAACGACAGTTGATGTGAATGTTACTGGATTGCAATCCTTGGCCGGCGGTTACCACATACATAAATGGCCGGTTCCACAGAAACTGACCAAGATGGAAAAAGTTTGTGATCCATCATATGTGTCAGGTCACTTTAACCCTAATAACATCGATGTCAATACTTCCCCAAGTCCTGGTACAGGAACTCCAGATCAGTATGAAATAGGAGACATCAGTGGAAAGTTTGGTGTTTTAAACGGAAAATCAGACTTAGTAGATACATTTACTGACTATAACCTCCCATTATATGGGATGCATAGTGTAATAGGACGATCCATTGTCATCCACAAGCAAAGTGGAGGTGCAAGATGGGTTTGTGCAAATATTGAATCCACCGAAGAAATGAGGATAGCCCAGATAACGTTTACTTACCCATACATCGGATACATGGTTTTCCAGCAGCCTCTCATGAATTGGTACCAAGCTGAAACTCAGATATACGTGGAACTTGACATGATGACTCAGACAGGGCAATCGACAGATCACAAGTGGCACGTTCATGAAAAAATGGTTGGGATGGATTCATTGGATTCAACTGGAAGATGTAGCTCTACAGCTGGACATTACAATCCATACCAAGTGGATCTGGAAGGGAACTACGCCTCCCAGTGTAGTTCATCTAATCCACTCAGGTGTGAGGTTGGAGATGTAGCAAACAAACATGGTAACATCGATATCGGCACCTCTGCTGAAGGGAAACAGCGCTACTTCTTCACGGACGTTGATCTTCCACTTTCTGGTCCGCTGAGCATTATTGGAAAGTCTGTGGTGATTCATGGTGCAAACAAAGGGGGTGAAAGAATGTCATGTGGAAACATCTACGAGCTTCCGAAACGTGTTGTAAAAGTGGATAAATGGAGTCAGATGGTAAGTTCAAGTATGGGTGGATACGTTAAACTGACTGAAGATTCTGCAGGTTGTTTGAGTGGAGTGACCACAACAGAGATCAATCTCAACAACCTGGCATCACAAGCTAGTGGCCTTCATGTGCACGAGTATCCCGTCCCAACAGGAAGCGATTCGCCCTGTTCACCAGCAAGCGTTGGTGGACATTTCAATCCATTCGAAATAGACGTGAATACCAGTCCCGCTAACGGAGCTGGAACAGACGATCAGTACGAGATCGGAGATTTAAGTGGTCGCTATGGAAGCCCACTAAATGGAAAGACCAGTATTGCTATGACCGACATGGATACCAATGTACCACTCCGTGGGCCTCTAAGTGTTGTTGGCCGATCCATTGTGATACACAAAGCTGATTCATCTCGGTGGCTTTGTGGTGACATCATGGAGGACACAGAGGTTACTAAAGGAGTGATGTACAAGGCTAAAGCGACTTTCGCCTCTGGAGATATTCAAGGAACAATCACACTTGTAAGTGCACAGAGATCTTTTACATGCACAGCTAGTCTTTGGTCCTTTCTATATGAATTCCTTTTGAAGAAATATGCACCCCTTTCTTTTGCAATCGCCACTACCTTTGTAAATCTGAGAAAAAAAAATGTTTAAAAAAAGTCTCAGCAATTAGTGAAAAAATGTTATAGTTATTATGCATTATAATTCATTTTATTTCGCTTGAAATAAAATTATTAGTGGTAATAAACTATGGAGTTGACGAACTCGCTCTCATTCATTTACATTTGATGTGTAAATCCTGTCTTGTAGATGCAGTATGCTTACCCCGGCGGAGGTATGAGTGATACTGATGTGTTAGTGGACTTATACTACGCACAAAACCGAAGTAAAATTGTAAGTTTCTTCTCTTTCGTAAAAGTAACGTGTAAAATTAATCAGTGACCATAATATTATCTTTTCTTTCAACATTGATTCTTACGTTCAATATATAAATAAAATGTGTCAATTAATACGTTACAGACATCAAACCATAACTGGCATGTTCATGAAAATCAAGTGACCACAGACTGCGCTTCTACGGGAGGTCACTATAACCCATTCCAGGCCGACTTACAGGTACATGTAAATACTGAAAAGTCCTGACCAATTGTCATTTTATGAGAAATGATTCATATCTTGACTTTTTTTTAAGACTGACTCGCAACTATGTCCTTTTATCAGATCTCGGTCAACACATTCATTCCACATTTCAAATCAAATTTTGTTTACTTTGGCGTAAACAATCTCTTATCAACATATAGAAGTGAATACCTGCCTTGTGTTATTAAAATTGCCTTCATTTGTCAAACCCTCGATCCTCGCTGTTTAATGTACAATGATATAATTACGTGTAGGAAGTCAAAAAACGACCAACTTAGGTCAACGATCGTATTAGTCCAAGAAGTTTGTGTAGACAGAATCGTAAGCCTGTTATACTTCACTGTCCTTAACAGACTTTAATTTTGACCTCTAAATGTCAATTATGTGGTTAACAGATGTTTTCATTACAGAGAAGTCATGTTATTTTTAGATTACAAATCTTGACATCTTATTCTGTTATTCCACCGTAATAATGTTCTCAAGGTTCCACTATTTATATTTACATGCACGGTACATTTAATCCATCCTTTTTCCTTCCTTCATAAATAACCAGACTGAAAGCTATAACAAAAGAATTCTTGTCGACTTAGAACTAGCTTTTCCATTATTAAATGCAAATATTAATGTATTCAGAAAGATCAACATGTAGATAAAATTCTCTACATATTCAATTTTTGTGTGATTTGGGATCACAATGTTCATAATAAAACTTGGAATCGAATAGCGACGAAGAAGAAAGAGTATTTATTTTTTTAATTCATTGAACCTATTGAACGAGTTCATTTATGTTAATTTTGTAGACTGGCAGGCTGAGCGTTCTTTAAGAAGTTGAAGCAATACTTGTAATAGTTTTAAAAAGTCAAACAATATTTATTTAGAAAATTTTACTAGATCAGGATGTAAAAAAAATCCAAATGAATACATTGTACCGTGACCATGAACTAGAGATTTGTGTGACCTACTGAAGCAATTATCGTGAAGCATTAAAAATCTTGATTCACCAACGATGGATCTTTATCCATGCTGTAACATCTCATTTAGTACAAGCTGTTCTTCGGTGTCGCACGTGGCGCAGTGGTAATAGCGTCTGCTCTTGAGTCTCGAATTTAGGGGTTGATCCTTACATTGCGGGTTCGAATACCACTGTGGGACGTGGAGACCGGTCCTTCGGATGAGACCGTATAAACCAAGGTCCCATGTCTCAGTAGGTGCTGGCACGAAAAAGATTCCTCCCTGCTCAATGACACTGAGTGTCGAGTATAGGACAAAATTTGTATCACTCCACCGGCAAGTGGTGGCGTCTCCATATGAGTGAAAAATTCTCGATAGGGACGTTAAGCAATATACAAACAACGAAACTGTTCTTCGTTTTGTGAACATAGACATGAATTTAAATCTTCCTGACAGGACTTGGTGATTGTCTTATTGCGTTCAGACAAGAGAGCATCTATTTTTAATTTTTTATGTCCCTATTATCAAAGATTTTGTCGGTCTGCCTGTTTAGCTCATTCTATATGTATGTTTGAGTTTGTCCCTATAGGGTTTTACTATTTCACTTGTTTTTCGATCCTTGTGAAATTTTTTGACCTACTGAGCTTGACCTTAATGTAACCCTCCTTTAGAAAGACTTTATACCTAGAACTTTAACTTTTGAACGGTAGACTTAAACCTTGGCGATGAACTATCAGTGTTTTACTAATACATTTTGTTGCAATTGAAAATGCTTATGAATGATATATTCCAGAATAATTATGACGAATGTAGCTTTTCGAACCCTCTTCGCTGTGAACTAGGGGATCAGGCTTCAAAGTTAGGACAATATGACATAGGAAATGGTAGACGATTCTATACTGATGTCTATCTTCCCCTGATGGGTCAATTCGGAGGTACTCTATTTTTTTTCTTCATTTACATCATATTATTAAAGGTAAAACTTGTTTTTAATAAAGCTATATCAACAATACATCTGATTTTGCAAAGAGCGAAAATATGCTGAGATCTTTTAGAAAATGTGTATAAACGCGCGTGTGTAGGTTTATAGCAGAGGTTATATTACTGTCCATTAAAGCGCACACAAGACTTAACGTAGGTCGCGGGTTTGCTGACGTCATTAAAACTGGGTACGCAATTTATATGATTTGGGCGACTTTTTTGTGCACATCTGATTATGACATCACGGTGAGAAAGCGAAAATTTCAGTACATTATCTAGCTGTAACTTTTGTTGAAATTGGTAGTTTAGTGTTACATATTCATAGAACATGCTGAAGTTATAAAAAAATAATGAAGGCTTATTTTGATTCGAATGACCATCACTGAGAGTGTTAGAAGCGTTTCATTATGTGTTATCAGTCGCATCTTCTCGGGTCTATTCTGAGAGGGCATGTACTTGTTTCGGAAATGAATTTTAACCCTTGTATCATGTATGATTTATAAATATTAAATAGATGTATTAAATGTGTATAATTATAAAACAGGTTATCTAACTCCGAATTACCACTCGATACCCCCTCCTCAGAAACGCACTCATTTTAGTGTACACTTTCAGTGGAAATGCACTGACAAATTTGATTACCATTGTCTTCTACGATAATTTATCTACAGCCATATATGGCATGCATGTCTTTGTTTTCATTTATCTCCGTAAACAGCGTCAAAACTTTGCTCACCGATGGAAAGTCAAACTCAATTATGAAACGGTCTGTGCTAATCTCGGACAAATCTATATAAAGATTGATCACAAATTAAAAACTGCTAAGGCATTACCGGGGTAATACTAATGAAACATAAACTAAATTATATATAAAATATATAAAATACGAGGGTTGTCCCGTAAAATCGTGGACAAGTTGTCTAGTTTGAAAAATAATCATCACTGCGTTCTGAAATTTTCACAACTTTTTAGTTGATAAATTATGAATATACATAGCAAGTTTCAAATAGATATATGCATAGGTAAACAAATTGTGATATTTTATGTTATATATTGTATCGCCCTACGGCGCACGGATGATAACGTCAAAGTGTCTATAACAGCGTCACGTTTCATCTTTGCTAAACTTAAAGTTGGATAAGCCCACTTAAATTTAGAAATCCTATTGATTTACATATGTGAGTATCTATAACCAGTTAAGAAATCAATGTGGCACACTCGTGATCTTCTGAATATTTATTAGCAAGTTACAGACAACATTCTCACCATCATTCAACAAAAAGAGAGTCTCACATCGACGGTCGACAGTGACAGCGTCCTTTGCTATTACAAATGACAGTCTGTCCATATGTTTTGTACTATATGGGGACTCGACCACGAAGACTTCACTAAGAAAACTTTCATTTCATTTATATACTAAAGATCTGGTGATATTTTTCATATTTTCTTTCTTCTGTATTTATTTAAAGTCTCTTAAGGCGTCATTACAACATCCTAATCTATCTGAACTGCTCTCCGGTGCGCCGTAACGTCATAAAAAGTCGCCATTTTTCGTGTATTGTGTTTATTACTTTCCCATTTCAAATGCTCGGGAAACTGCCAAAAATTAACCAAATGCCTTGAAATTTTTAAAAAGACGACAGAATTGATTTAGGAATGGAATTAGGATAATTTTCATCCTAATCTTATGTATTGAAAACTTTTATTATCATTTAATTCTTATATCTTATCTAATATAACCTTGCTATTATTAGCGTGCGCCGTAGGACCGTACCTTGTGCACATTCAAGCAGAATAAAATCTTTATTTTTGAATATATATTATCAAAAACATTATGATTCACTTAAATATGATGAATAAACATTTACTGAAAATTTCAGCTTGGTGTGCCCATTACTTTTCAAGAAAAACGCTTTGTCCACGATTTTATGGGACAACCCTCGTATATATACATTTTTGAGCGGCATTGACCTCTTGTACATAACCACAGGCACGTAGGATATGACCCCCTCCCTCATTTCCATTTTTTTTTCTTCCTAACGCCGGGGATGAGTAAACTGTTTCCATCTTTTTAATTCTAACTCCACCCTATAAGTTCATGTTGATTTAATCGAAATATTTACTAATCGGAGGCACATAAAGAATGATATAAATGGAAATCTGAAAAGGAAAAAAAGCGTTTTTCAAATTTATCGATGTCTGCATATTCCATGATTCTCTACGCTTTAGATAGTGATCATGCTTGCAAGTGAAGATTGTGAGGCAGACGTCGAGAATAAAAACAAATTGCAAGCCGTCTCTTTTTATGTATCAGTCGAAAACGAAAAAAATGTATTTAAAACAGCGTAAAGAGATAAAAGGGTAAAATTATTAATAACAAGCAATACGCATTAAAAATCCAAAATAGGAAAACCCCCAGAAAAACAAAAAGAGGGGGGGGGTCAATACTCCAATTGCCTGTGCAAGTAACGGCACGCGTTGTTGTTAGTTACATGTACATATTTTATTCGCTGCGTTGCTTTCCATGTTCATTCAGTAGAATTAATGTTATATGTATACATTGAAAGTCTAAGAACAAAATAAAATCTGCCTGTTGATTGTGCCAAATAATATTAATGTTTAAATTATCGTCCCATTTACCCCTCTAAAATTCCTTTTAAGTACGCTTTTTTACTATCCTTATACACTGTACGTATATTAAGCATAAAATAAAATCAAATTAAGATTTATTTTAGCTATTCGCTGCCTCTTTGTAAACAAAAACATTTTCAATATAAACACTGAATGCATTAATACTTATACTCGGGGGGGGGGGGTATTTGGCAGAAATTGATTCAGAAGAAGTTATTGTTGATTTGATAGCCTTGCTGAATTTTCTTACGAAAAAGGATATATACAAAGCGTATAAGAAAACATATTTCGGGGTTGGGGGTGGGGCTATTAGTAGTCCTTGACTTCTGAATTATCGTCATACCTACGACTTTTCACACAAACTTAGATCACAGATCTGCGATTTCAACGGGGATAGGGAGTCTGTCTTTTCCAGAGGGGAATACAAGGTCACTTTTATTTTGCAAATTCCGGCGAGAATCCGCGCATGAATAAAAAAAGAAACGATTAGAAATAAACACATAAAGAAAATATTTAAAAAAAAGAAAGAAAGAAAGAAACTATAAAAGGACTGACTGTTGGTTTACGCCTTTTACGTGAATTTGCACTAATATTAGACGTAATAAGCTGAAAGGGAAAAATGTCTAATAGTTATTTTATTGAATTATTATGATACTGGGCATTTGAAAGCAGATATACGTGAATTTCCTTTTTCTTAAAATCCGTATAATTTATTTGTGCTCTGTATACCGGATCGATATTCACGACGTCAAGCGTGACGTCACGATATTTTATGACGTTGTTCTTAAAGATGCTACATTTGTCAATATAAAAGCAATTATCTACAATTTAATTACGAAAAAATGAACCCGAAGACATATTAATTTTTTTATATAGATTTATTTCAAATCAATTCTATTTTTAAATACCAAAAGATAAACAAATTCGTCTGCACGATTTAAAAGTTATTGATATTTTTTTTAATCAAAACCTTGCCTGAAAACAAGCCAAAAACGACGTTTTTCCTATACAATTCAATAGAATACCGTTGAAAATGTAACTACAACAATGACATCTTTGGAATTCAATTACACAAAAACGGTGCAGACGAATTTTATAAAATTTTCAGAGAATGAAAATCAAAGGTAGAGAAATCATATAGGTAATTTTCATGGTATGTTTTCGAACACTTTTAAAAGCCCTGTAAACCCGCGACCTACGTTAAGTTTTACACTGTTGTGATTTCTATAAAATGTAATTGAATTTTGACACTTTTTTTCAGTAATCAGTCGTTCCTTTGTTGTGCATGCAGAGAATGGCGGCGCGTCTCGTGTGACCTGCGCTAACATTATGCCATTGGACGGCATGACAATGCCAATGTCCTTTCCAGTGCAATCAAATTTCAATAAGTAAGGATTTTCATAAAGAGTGTAATTTACGAAAAACACGCAAGATAGACATGCAACCGTTTCACCGTAGTCCGATGATGTATCGGGTTGCATCTTTTTTCACTTATAAGTAAAAGTATTACCCTTTATGAAACACATGCTTACAATACTGAACTATCTTCAGAGAAACCATGAGAACAAAGATAGCTGCAGCACTGGGCACCCAGACATTTAACCTTATGGTGGAACAGATGCCCTCTAATGCAGTGGTGGATGGAAACTGCATGCAGGCCACTGTTTATTTCATGGGTACAAGATTAAAATATATAGGGCTCCACATAAATTACAAAAAATCAGTAGATTGTATTAAAATTATAATGATTTTAAAAAGCATGAGAAGAGAAAGGGACAGAAGGGGTTATGATTTATAAATAATTTGATGTATTTTACAGGCCCGGAATCCAGAAGCCTTTATAGTGAGCTGGGCTCCTTAATGAAACAAAATTCCAACTTGCTTGGTGCATATGCACCATGTTCAGGATCAAGTAAGTATACTATTTATATCTGACTCTTTTCACATCAATTATACTACAAGTACTTGTATAGACCTAATGTTAGCACCATAGTGTTGCTGTTGTTTCTTGGATATAATTCCTCAAAGTTTGAGCGAAATTAATTAAAGACACACAAATTTGCTATTGATAGACTTTTTATTTTATTTTTACATATAACAGCAAAACGAATTTGGAAGCTGGAAACACATCTACTCACTATACATATGTTCTCGCGTTCCTGTTTTACTCTCAGTGAAACTAAAAATAAAATTCAAGTGTGTTATTTTAATTTTTCAATCATTCTATCTCTAATTCAAGTAATTATTTCTTTCTTTTTTAGATTCACTCCATTTTTCAATTGTATTATTTGGACTACTGTTTTGTATACAACAATTTTTGTCCAAGTGGAGATGATAGATGGAGCTTAGACTAGTGCCATTACTACACAATACATATCATATAGTGTCTCCCCTCGCCAGAGGGTCAAACTATTATTCCTGTCATTGGTCAAACTAAGGACAATGATTTATGGTACTTGTTTGTACATGAACTCTCTGTGTACATGTACACAGTATATATTTATACATTCTCATGTCTTTTCATTTACAATGCATATACATTTTATATATATAAGAAGTTCATGTTCTTCAAAGTCATTGTATACATTATACTGTATAAATTGATAATGTTCTTGTAATATAGTATTTTTTTCAGATTTTTACAATATATCAAGTACCATATCTTGTCAAAAATGTTTATAATGATAAACTTGTATTTTTGCATTGTAATACAATGATGAAATAAATAAGAACTTTCTCAGGAGAAATCATTTGTATTTTTTAAGGAGTATATTCTTCTTGAAATTTTGTAACAATGCCAATCTTTGTCCCTTTTATACATTGTAGCAATCAACAACATTGTCTTTAGAAGATACAATTTAGTCTAGACCAAAATCAAAATCCATATCTCGTACCAAAATCAACGTTAGGTATATGGTTTGTGCAGGACTTAAAAATCTCAGACATCAAATGAACATTACAGACATTACCCTAACATGTTAATTACCGCCGAAGATGAAACCCTGACATCAAATAAGTAACCACCTACATTCCTTTATCATCGCTGATAAAACTCAGACATCCTGATCCCAAGAAATCACTAATTCTACACACAAGTATTCTTCCGAAGTTCCTTGTTCACTATATCTATGTAGTCTTCCAACAAACTCGTGGAGTTCCTATGGGTACTAATTGTGCTTCTTTATTAGCCGTTCCGTTTTTAGCTCACCTGAGCCGAAGGCTCAAGTGAGCTTTTCTGATCACATTTTGTCCGGCGTCCGTCTGTCTGTCTGTCCGTCTGTCCGTCTGTCTGTAAACTTTTCACATTTTCGACTTCTTCTCAAGAACCACTGGGCCAATTTCAACCAAACTTTGCACAAAGCATCCTTGGGTGAAGGGGATTCAAGTTTGTTCAAATGAAGGGCCACGCCCTTTTCCAAGGGGAGATAATCACAAATTTGTTAAAAATTAATGGCATTTTTAAAAAATCTTCTTCTCCAGAACCGCTGGGCCAGGAAAGATGAAACTCATGTGGAGTCATCCTCAGGTAGTGTACATTCAAGTTTGTTCAAATCATGACCCCCGGGGCAAGGGTGGGGCCAAAATGGCCGACCCAAGTTTTACATAGGAATATATAGGAAACATCTTTAAAAATCTTCTTCTCCAGAACCACTGGGCCAGGAAAGATGAAACTCAGGTGGAATCATCCTCAGGTAGTGTAGATTCAAATTTGTTCAAATCATGACCCCTGGGGCAAGGGTGGGGCCAAAATGGCCGACCCAAGTTTTACATAGGAATATATAGGAAACATCTTTAAAAATCTTCTTCTCCAGAACCACTGGGCCAGGAAAGATGAAACTCAGGTGGAATCATCCTCGGTAGTGTACATTCAAGTTTGTTCAAATCATGACCCCCGGGGCAAGGGTGGGGCCAAAATGGCCGACCCAAGTTTTACATAGGAATATATAGGAAAAATCTTTAAAAATCTTCTTCTCCAGAACCACTGGGCCAGGAAAGACGAAACTCATGTGGAATCATCTTCAGGTAGTGCAGATTCAAGTTTGTTCAAATCATTACCCCGGGGGGTAGGGTGGGGCCAAAATGGCCGACCCAAGTTTTACATAGGAATATATAGGAAAAATCTTTAAAAATCTTCTTCTCCAGAACCACTGGGCCAGGAAAGATGAAACTCATGTGGAATCATCCTCAGGTAGTGCAGATTCAAGTTTATTCAAATCATTACCCCCGGGGGTAGGGTGGGGCCAAAATGGCCGACCCAAGTTTTACATAGGAATATATAGGAAAAATCTTTAAAAATCTTCTTCTCCAGAACCACTGGGCCAGGAAAGATGAAACTCATGTGGAATCATCCTCAGGTAGTGTAGATTCAAGTTTGTTCAAATCATGACCCCCGGGGCAAGGGTGGGGCCAAAATGGCCGACCCAAGTTTTACATAGGAATATATAGGAAAAATCTTTAAAAATCTTCTTCTCCAGAACCACTGGGCCAGGAAAGATGAAACTCATGTGGAATCATCCTCAGGTAGTGTAGATTCAAGTTTGTTCAAATCATGACCCCCGGGGCAAGGGTGGGGCCAAAATGGCCGACCCAAGTTTTACATAGGAATATATAGGAAAAATCTTTAAAAATCTTCTTCTCCAGAACCACTGCGCCAGGAAAGATGAAACTCATGTGGAATCATCCTCAGGTAGTGTACATTCAAGTTTGTTCAAATCATGACCCCCGGGGCAAGGGTGGGGCCAAAATGGCCGACCCAAGTTTTACATAGGAATATATAGGAGAAATCTTTAAAAATCTTCTTCTCCAGAACCACTGGGCCAGGAAAGATGAAACTCATGTGGAATCATCTTCAGGTAGTGCAGATTCAAGTTTGTTCAAATCATGACCCCCGGGGCTAGGGTGGGGCTAAAATGGCCGACCCAAGTTTTACATAAGGATATATAGGGAAACCTTTCAAGTACTTCAAAGCTATGATTAGTGATATTTATATGGAATCATCCTCAGGTAGTGTAGATTCTAGTTTGTTCACACATGATGACCGCCTGGAGGGGGGGGGGGGGGCGGGGGAGTAAATTCAAGCCCGATGTGCTCAGGTGAGCGCTGTGGCCCCTGGGCCTCTTGTTGTATAAAATGCACGAGAGGGGAAAACATTCGCCGTTGCCTTAATTCGACAATTATTTATCGATGTTTTTTCAATATATAAATATAGTCCTTTGACAATGTCGATCCATATACTAGTATATATATCGACTTCACAGAAGAGCATATCGACCGAGCACCCTGTAATTGTTTTTCCTTTATATTGACAGCTAAGAGTAATTTAGGGAATATAAAAAGCTTCATTTGTTTTATTATGTTTTGTGTTGATTTTTGAAAAACATCACTCATATATTTTAATATAGTAGATTCTTATTCAAAGCACTGTTTCGTCTTTACCAATTACTGTATTACAGAACATCAGAATTATAAATAGGCGTTAAAGTGTATTAATTTTTTCTTTTTCAAAAACATCCAGTTATTCACTGCATTAGCTATTGCTAACAAAAAATTATTTTCATTTTAAGAATCGAGTCGATATGCATTTGAGAATCTATAAATAGTAACAAAAGTCTTAATGCGGTTTTTTTACTTGATCGTGTGATCAAGGTTGAGCCAATCAGAGAGCTTGGAATAAATGAGAAAAAATAATATTCAACAATAGCTATTTCCATTTATATGTCGACTCAATTTATTCCAGTGAACTTGAAATATTAAACACTACAGATTCACATGTTTCATACCGGTATTTGAATGTTTAACTCGAGAGTATGCTCCGAGTCTGATCAATTTTTAAACCGAGCCTTTTTGCATATAAGTTGATTATTCCTTTCACAAATAAACGTCAAGAGCCAGACCTACAGATTGCTTTTCATAAAAGCCATGCAGATACAACTTAAAAGTGATTTGTTTCAAGGTTTTAGAACTGAAACGGGAAAGAGAGCTGAAAAAGTTGATGATTGACTGAATGTTGTCTAAGGTCCCATTCGAGAAATTTTCACTCATATAGAGACGTCACCATATACCGGCGAAGGGATCAATATTTAGACCTTTATTCGGGGCTATTGAGAAGTGAGGGATATTTGTCGTACAAACGTCCACTGTGACACGGGCCGACTTCTGTTTGAATGGTCTTCTCTGAAAGATTCGCAACTTTCCCTTCACGAACGTCTGGCGAAGGAACAGAACTGTTGCTACCCCTTTTTCACTTACTTTGGTTTTTCGCGGCTGTGGTTTGAACCCACAATCTTCCGAGTTTGGAGAGAACACTCTATGGATACAGCGTCTAATGATTCCAAGCCTCTTCTTTTCTGCCTATGTATTCCAAATGTAAGTCATGTTCACGTACTTTTTACGGTTGACACAATCTGAGGACCAACTAAGTCTCTTATCTGTAATATTCAGACATAACCAGTAGGTTCCAAGTATGTCAACTAACATATTTTTTATGTGTCTAATCCTCTTAGTATACTAAATTTTGAGTTATATCAATGATATTCCAAAAGTAACCTGCTTTTCAGTTCAAAAATCCCAAGAGGCATCAACTGATTAAAATTCAATTTACATATGTATAATACTAGAAATATAAGCCTTTTATTCTAAAATTGAGATATTATTGTGAAATTCAAAAAATAGGACACCGTGATCTGCTCTGTGGTTAAAACAATCTGATGACCTTATTTCAAGAATTGACAGTTTATGATTCTAACTTCTAAGCCTTTAATTTACAATCCATATTAGGATATATCTGTGAACTCTAAAAAACACATGTAGGTCACTGTGACCGCTTTTTGGACAACATACAAAGTACTTCAAGAACCCAATACTGATCAAGTGATAATCTTTGATGATGTTCTTGTATTCCTTTAATATTTAGCTCGGGCGCGTGGCGCAGTGGTTAGAGCGTCTGCTCTAGAGTCGGAAAGTAAGGAGTCAATCCTTACGTCGCGGGTTCGAATCCAACTGTGGGACGTGGAGACCGGTCCTTCGGATGAGACGTATAAATCGAGGCCCCGTGTCGCAATATGTGCTTATACTAAAAAAGATCGATCCTCATTGCTCAATGGTCTTGGGTGCCGAGCATAGACAATTTCCAGCTCTCCACAGACAAGTGGTGGCGTCTCCATATGATTGAAAAATTCTCGAGAAGGACGTTAAACAACATACAATCAATCCATGGGCACCTGATCTTACTTTTCTTTTAATAAAAAAAAATTTACCCCTATCAATCAATCTTAAATATATAGACATTGCCTTCAATTTTAAAAACCCACTGTGGGACGAGGAGACCGGTCCTTCGGTTGAGACCGTAGAAACCGAGGTTCCGTGTCGCAGAGGGTGCTGGCACGAAAAAGACCCCTCACTGTTTTAACTTTTAAAGCAGAGTACAGGACATATTTTGTTGCTCTCCACCAGCGATTGTTGCGTCTCCATATGAGTGAAAAATTGTCGGTAGAGACGTTAAACAACATACAATCAGTCAATTTTCAAAAGTATGTAATAATGACATTTTTTGTTAACAAATTCAGAGGACCATGATGTATGGTATTGTATTTTTCAATCTAGATATACAACATACTCCTACCCAACACCAGAATCACTGACACGCGGTTGAGTGGGGGGGATTAGAAGATACATCTTGATCATCATTACTATGCACTTCCTTTGTTTGTTTAATACATAGGAGGAGATTTTCAAATAAATTACTTTTAATATATATCAGATCCTCATTTTTACGTGATTAATATTTCATCAGATATCTACTAAGGTAGATAAGATTTTTCAAAGAATTTATGCAATGAAACCATGGCCCCAAGGCCTGGAATTTCAAACTTTTGATAGAGGCCTGATTAAAGGGGGGCATGCTTTATTTGGCCCGAACTCAAAGGAAGGGGACAAGGACTAAAAAACAATCATTTTGTACCCTTCGATGTACATTGTTACTGACCAAAATTGGCTGAATTTGGACAGTGGTTGAAGAGAAGAATCTGAAAATATTTTTTTAAGTTTAATAATGAAGCATGTCATTCAACATGGAAAAAACAGATTGCAATACCGGGTATGTCACCTCAATGACTCACATGACCTAATGAACAAAACAAAACAAGAACAAAGCGATATTGTTATCTTTATTATTTTAGTATAGAATCAATGTTCCTGTCGATGGGCCAACACAAACAGTATACATCTTGGATGTAAAAGTCAATCTCTAATAGGTATACCCATTGTGGAAAGTCTAACGATGATGATAAAACATGACATCATTATAAACATAAGATTACCCAGTACAAGACTGGGAATAACCAACAGCACTAGACAGTGAATCATTATATCACCAAGCAATGAGTCATTATGTTTTACAACAATTCTGTGACCTTGGCAGAGTTCAATGTCTACTTGAGTGGATCATGCACATGTATACAAACACAAGATTTTCAGAACAATCACTTTTCTTCATCCAGATAAATCATTTGCATTAAACATGTCCTCATCATATTTTTCTGCTGTGACGATTCTTCCTGCAAAGTATCTGCCATTTAGAGCTGCACAGGCCTTTTCCACTTCTGAAAACAGAAAAAAGTACAATTTTAATTTTTATAGCCCAAGTGCAATAACTTGATTGCTAAGTACACAAATGAAGATTATTCTACACCTCAATAGTAAAGAGTTAAAAGTATATCATTGAGGGAAGCAGCAAAATTCCCGTTTCCAATAAGCAAACCTGTTTTCCTTCACTTTGGGAAACAGCCATGCTTTTGGGAAGATCAATGCTATTTTTCAACCAATTTTTATACCAGTACAAATGATATACATGTATCAGGGAAAAAAGTTCAATTTTTAAAATTGCTGCAAGTTCCTTAAACAGAGATTAAATCAATGCTTTATTTATACCCACCCCCCCTTTTTTTTTTAAAGTCAAAACAGTTAAAATTCAAATAAAACAATGATAATCATTAAATTAAAATTTCTTTCAATATCTGAAATATTTTATTGATATAAAGATTAACTAGTTTTGCAATTCAATTTTATAATGAATATTCCTCTTAACTCGAATATACTGTAGGCGTACTTTTTTCCACGAGGTCATAATTCTGCGGAATCTCAATATCTGTTTAATCCGGGGGTAGAAAATTATGCAGCTTTTCTAGATTATCACTATATGCCTTACATTTATATTAAGTACGCTTGGACAAATTTCTGCAGAAAATTTGTGACTGCGTACATAGCGTAAATTAATACCAAGCGGAAAAAAGTACTTCTACAGTAATTTCAAACTTTTTACAAGACTAAAAGAAATTGCTAGGTGTATTTTTTCCAATAGGATGTAATAACACTTTAGCAAACAAAAGCCCATTCTGGAAGTTTTTAGGAAATAACCAAATAAATGATAATCATTAATACCTTGGATTAAAACCATGTCTTTTTAAAAATGTGTAATCTTTGTTAACACCCTTTTCACTTGCACTTTTTACCCCTCATATACTGTGTAAAAACACAAATTTCCATGAGGCTTGAATATTTTGTAGTTTTCATGGTATAAAGAGATATAATTAATATAGATGCTTTACCTGACTGAGCAGTGAATTCTACAAATATTTTGACAATAATCTCAGCGTCTTCTTCCTCGCTCTGTTTCTCCTGATAGATGATGACCCGGTTTACATTTCCGTATTTTCCGCATTCATCGGTGACCTCGTTCTCCAATTCACTGTCAAGGTCCTCCGGCCCCACCATGTTCCTCAGAACCATAACCTTACACTGAAAATATAGTTCACAGCTTCAGTAACCAATTTACACAGCAGTTTACATTTTCATCTTTTCAAATTAGAAACTTATTAAAACAAATGCTGTGCAAGAGAGGTTTCACATATGGCCTTCTTTGACCTTGAGACTTTATTAAAAACAGAAATTGCTATTTTATGCTAAAAAGATTTGATTATCACTTGGACTCTTGGTAACTGCATGTTTTTCAAAAATGATGTGCTTTCTCACTAGTCATTCAATAATGACATCATGAACTGAATTGCATCAATATTCCTTTAAAAATGCTTCAAAAAACGGTTTAGTGTTTGAAGGTGCTTTCAATATCGTATAAGTGTGAATTTTAGCGAGACACAAATTTAGTGATTTCTCCTTCAAAATTGGTATTTAATTTTTAGCGATAAGTAATTTTTAGCAATTTAAAAATGCTCACTAAACAAGTTATTACAAATTAAAATGCAGTTAATTTGCAATTAATTTTTTAGAACATTAAATTTTAACGATCTCAGCACACTTGCTAATAATGCCAAAATGAAATCATTGCTAAAATGTCCACTTATACCGTATTTTGTATATTTATGTATAATAATAAAATGAATAACTTTTCACTATGTTTCAACTTTGCTTTTTAACTATGTAATTGTTATAAACAAAGAAACCAACCTCTGTTTTCCTCATCAGTTTCTGCATCACCATGTGTCGAGCGTTGGTGCCACTGATCTTCATGTTCTCTTGTTGGTCCAGCGTTTGTGCTGCGTCTTCTTCTGCCTTCTTTTTCTTCTTCTCTTCTTCCTCCTTCTTCGTGTCTTTTTCTTTATCCTGGGGTGGGAGGGGTATCATGGCTGGGATGGAAACTGAATTATGGAATTTAGAAAAGAATTAATATACATGTACATACATGTACTTATTTTAATACATTATTTGCCTTAATCTGTAGTTTACATATAATCTACTAGACCCAAATTGAGTCAACATTACAAACTGAAATTAAGCATTTCCTAAAGGAGCATTGGGTTGAATTTTAGCGCATCATCTGATTTTTCGATACTTCTTTTAAACTTCTTTAAATTTATTTACTTTTATCTACTTGCATGTTCTTGACATCAAAGTCGAATCTATTCAACTAAAAAGACATTTACCACATGAAGCTTTGTAACTTACCTGGTATTGAGGTCGGCACAGGTACAGGGACTGGTGCCGACCCTAAAGCTGTTGGAGCCACCACTCCTGCAGGAGGGACAATTCCTGGAACCCCCTCTACATTAGGAGGCATCACCATTCCCAGACTGGTCGGAGCCACAATACCCACTGACCCTAGCTGTGGGACAACAACAGACACAGGGGGTACAGGGACAGGGGCTACAATACCTGGCGGGGGGACAGGTGAGCTAGAGAGAGCAGGACTGTCCGCTAAACTCAGAGGCTTGGCAATTCCTGGGGGTGCCTAAAAATAATTTCATGTAATAATTAGGTAATGAATAATGAAATACAATTTACTTGATTGAACAAAAAATTAGAATAAGATGCAAAAATTGTCTACTACAAGATTTTTAAAAGAAAAAAATGTTAGAAGACCGTTCTTACTGCAATTATCTTTTAATATTGTTACTTGATGAAAGATGATTCAAAGAAGTCACTTACGAGACTCTTAATTTGTTCCTGAGCATCGAGAGCTGTAATTTTAGCTGTGACAGCCGCGGCAGCCACTGCAGCAGCTGTGGGGAGTGTCCCTGGGCCAGCCATGGGCTGAAGGGCATCAGGAGGGGTGATGGCCTGTCATTAAACAACACACAATTGAGAGACTTATGGTTAAACATGGGAGAATTGTTAACCTTCGAGTTATAAAGGATGAACAAATATGAACCAATTAATGATGGATCACAAAAGTAGCAAAATCTTAAAGTTATTGATTGACAATGGCATATTTCATGGACATTTCCTCTTAGGAAATGTACTTAAGCCTTCACCGTCAGTCTGGTAAACATAACTCACCTTTCCTACTCTAAGATATTGCCCTCCCAAGTCAAACAAATTCATAGACGTCACAGCATCCTGTGCAGCTTGTTGTGAGTCAAACTCTATAAAACCATATCCCCTGTTGAAAAAAAGAAATCGTATTATATTTTTTTTCCTTGGAAATCATAATAATATAAATGTGCAAAGTGAAACCTGTCTAATCTAGTACATTCACAATTTGAGTCAGAATAGACAGGAGTCAGATTACACAGTTATAGAAAATAAAGACAGTAAAATGAAATATTGATAGCCTTATGGTCAGCATTAAAAGTGAAATGCGCTGCAAAGGTATCAGATTAGTTTCACTGTACTTAAAACATAAAAATTGCATAGATTTTGGATTATTTTTTAAAGATCTCTAAATACATGTATGCATTCCATGGAATCATTTTTATTTGTGGGGGGTCAATGTTTATTACAAATCATAATTTCACTGCTTTTGTTGGATATTTTCATGGGTAACTATTAATATATAGTATATAAAGAAGACAATGAAAATTTGATGCTTTGACAAAAGTGTATTCATGAGGCTATGAATTCATTGGTGAGTCACAAAAACCACTAGCACTGACTCCCTGCAAACAAAGATGATTCCACATTATGTTTCATTCAACATAATAACTCTTATAATAACAGTGCTCCAAGTTGCAACTAAAATGGTCGCATTTGCGACCAAAAAATGAAATTAAACAAGAGGCCCATGGGCCACATCGCTCACCTGAGCACTAAGGGTAGGAAAAAGTAGAAAATGGCTTTTTATTGTATAGTTTAAATCCAAGAGTAGTCCCATGACCAATCATGGATTTGTTATTTTTAGAAAATGATTTTTAAAGAATTTTAATATACATATCTTTAAAAACTTTGGTCGGCCATTTTGGCCCCGCCCTACCCCTGGGGGTCATGATTTGAACAAATCTGAATCTACACTACTTGAACTTGCTTCCATATAAATATGATGAATTATGGCTTTGTCATTCTTGAGAAGAAGATTTTTAAAGAATTTTCCTGAATATTTCTATGTAAAACTGGTCGGCCATTTTGGCCCCGCCCTACCCCTGGGGGTCATGATTTGAACAAACTTATATCTACACTACCTGAGCAGGCTTCCATATAAATATGACGAATTATGGCTTTGTCATTCTTGAGAAGATTTTAAAAGAATTTTACTATATATTTCTATGTAAAACTTTGGTCGGCCATTTTGGCCCCGCCCTACCCCCGGGGGTCATGATTTGAACAAACTTGAATCTACACTACCTGAGCATGCTCCCATATAAATATGATGAATTATGGCTTTGTCATTCTTGAGAAGAAGATTTTTAAAGAATTTTCCTATATATTTCTATGTAAAACTTTGGTCGGCCATTTTGGCCCCGCCCTACCCCCGGGGGTCATGATTTGAAGAAACTTGAATCTACACTACCTGAGCATGCTTCCATATAAATATGACGAATTATGGCTTTGTCATTCTTGAGAAGAAGATTTTTAAAGAATTTTACCATATATTTCTATGTAAAACTTTGGTGGCCATTTTGGCCCCGCACTACCCCCAGGGGTCATGATTTGAACAAACTTGAATCTACACTACCTGAGCATGCTCCCATATAAATATGATGAATTATGGCTTTGTCATTCTTGAGAAGAAGATTTTTTAAAGAATTTTACTATATATTTCTATGTTAAAGTTTAGTCGGCCATTTTGGCCCCGCCCTACCCACGGGGGTCATGATTTGAACAAACTTGAATCTACACTACCTGAACTTGCTTCCATATAAATATGATGAATTATGGCTTTGTTATTCTTGAGAAGAAGATTTTTAAAGAATTTTCCTATATATTTCTATGTAAAACTTTGGTCGGCCATTTTGGCCCCGCCCTACCCCCGGGGGTCATGATTTGAACAAATTTGAATCTACACTACCTGAGCATGCTTCCATATAAATATGATGAATTATGGCTTTGTCATCCTTGAGAAGAAGATTTTTAAAGAATTTTACTATATATTTCTATGTAAAACTTTGGTCGGCCATTTTGGCCCCGCCCTACCCCCGGGGGTCATGATTTGAACAAACTTGAATCTACACTACCTGAACTTGCTTCCATATAAGTATGATGAATTATGGCTTTGTCATTCTTGAGAAGAAGATTTTTAAAGAATTTTCCTATATATTTCTATGTAAAACTTTGTGGCCATTTTGGCCCCGCCCTACCCCCGGGGGTCATGATTTGAACAAATTTGAATTTACACTACCTGAGGATGTTTCCCCATAAGTTTCATCTTTCCTGGCACAGTGGTTCTTGAGAAGAAGATTTTTAAAATATGCCACCAAATTTTCATTAATTCCCAATTATCTCCCCTTGAATGAGGGTGTGGCCCTTCATTTGAACAAACTTGAATTCCCTTCACCCAAGGATACTTTGTGGCAAGTTTGGTTGAAATTGGCCCAGCGGTTCTTGAGAAGAAGTCGAAAATGTGAAAAGTTTACAGACAAACGCCGGACAAAATGTGATCAGAAAAGCTCACTTGAGCCTTCGGCTCAGGTGAGCTAAAAATTAAAACTAAGTCGCATTTTCGCAACTGAGAAAAATTGGGCTGGCAACGTTCCATCTTTTTATGATCGGGATCGAGATTTACGTTTTCAAGATTCTCTATCATGACAACGCTTGAAGATATATACTTTAACACACTTTACAAAGTGTCGCATGGACTTAGATCACGTAATGTTATGACAGCATGCTGCAATAGTGATGCTTAATAGAACCAGAGACGTATAAACATAACGTCCCTGAAAGAATGGCATCCAAACATCCTAAACTTTCTCGAGTTTTTCGGACCTTGTTATGGAAGCATTTGGTCAATGGCTTGCATATCACAATTAATCAAGTGTTTTGGTGGCATTGATAATGAATGTGTTATGGGTAAGATACATAGTAAGAAAACATGACAAACAACTGGAAAAGTCCTGTCTCAACAACTGTCAAAGTTTTATTTTCTTTTGATCAAACTTTAATTCTAGAATCAGATTACTTGTGTTCTTCTGTGTAACATTCAATCATAGGGATGGTTGTATTCAATAAAAATATTTCCTTCAACTAGCAAAGGATTTCTAGTCACAGTAAATATTTATATTTGATTTAATAAAAAAAATAAAACATATATGGGTGATAATTCCTTGTTTTATTGTGTTATTCACATGTTTTCATCATGGCGAGTGAAATATTTGTTTATGGCAACCAGAAATTCTGATATGGCTACCCAACAAATTTTTAGGTCGCCATTTAGCGACCTAAAAGTAAGTAAGACTTGGAGCACTGAATTATAACTAATAAAATAAAAATTTTACTTGTGTTTGCCTGGCTTTCCAGTTTCTGTGGCCAGTTTACAATTGACAATCTTTCCAAAGGCCTCAAAGACACTGCAAAGTAAAGTGGTATTAAATCAACATCACAAATGACATTGAAACATTACATTTACCAGTTTCAGCAATATAGTTTGATGCTATCTGAAAACAGCAATCAAGCCTAAAATTGTAAACACCCTTTGAAATTTTTTTAAGTAATTTTAGTGATTTAAATCAACTAAATATAGAGTATCAATTAAACATTTGTCAAAATATGAAGACTTCCAAATTTGACAAACCTTTGGATGTCATTTTCTGTAAGGTCATGGTATATTGAGGCTATGTTTATTTGACTAACCTTTGGATGTCATTTTCGGTAAGGTCATGGTGTATTGAGGCTATGTATATTCTGTTGTGATTTTTGGCCTCCTGTGCAAGCTGTTCAATGATAGGCTGAGCTTGAGGCATGTTACTGGGTCTACCCACCTAATATAAATAAATGAAGAAAACTTTTATAAATTCTGATTTTCATATACTGAACTAACAAATATATATACAGTCAAACCTGTATTAAGAGACCTTCCAACGGAGAAAGGTAAAAAGGTCACATATGACAGGTGGTCTCTTAATACAGGTAGCTTGATTTCCGAAGTGTAAACACACATTTCTTTATCAAATTAATTATTGTTAACACTACAAAAATAACCACATATATTGTATTTTGAGATTTATTTCATATACATTGTAAAGTAGAACTGTAACATTTAATTTACCAATAAATAAAAATCTAAAAGATAGTATATGTTATAATTTTCAAAATTAACTTTTTAAAATAACAGTAATATTACCAATTAATAAAAATTTAAAATACATGCATAGTAAAAAATAGTAAGAGATGTTATAATTTTTCAAAATCTACTTCAAAATATAGCATAAATATAATAAAAAGGATTTTTGGTTATAATATATCACAACTTAAAAAATTAAATATATCACAGTACATGTAGCTATATACATTGATGGTTTGTAAGTTAAAATCTACACTGATCCTCTGGGAGTAAAAAAATCAGTTATCGAGGATTGCCTCTCCTTTTGAACAATTAGGCAAGAAATCAGCTCCTCCATTTGAAATACATTTTTTAACAATTTGCTGCAACCCCTGTGTACGGAAAATGTTTTGATTTTATTGACACAATCCAAGAGTTCCTTGTTGTTTGGAAATTGAGACAGAATCATATCCTCTTCTTCACTCTCATCATCAGTTTCACCCTGCTCATTTATGTCACTAAGAAGATCATGTGCTGGTTTAGTCCAATCAATTTCAGCATTGTCACAGGTAGCCAACGTTTCGTCTATTTCCTTCAGCTCATTGAATTCGCATCCGAATAAATCCATGGATAACTTTAAAACAGCTAGCGGGATGTCATCATCATCAAGATCATCACAGCTTTCTGCATGTAATTCCTGTGTAAGTTCTTGGGATGTGTCACTAATAAACCCGGCTTTTAGAAAGCACTTCTCGATGGTGGACGCTTCAGTTTCCTTCCACGAGCTAGAGAGCCAATAGATGGCATCCAGTATGTTGATCTGCTTCAACAGGTCAGGGCCACTAACATCAGGTTGTCTCTCCATCTCCTTCACCATGTGGATCATCTGTTTAAAAAATTGATCATAAATTAGCTTCATGAAAACATATCAATTTAATTACAATTGATTAAAGATCAGTAAGCTTTGATGTTATCAAAACAGGTTTTAATAACGTTATGTTTATGTAAACTTTGACATTTATTGCTAAAACAACAAATAAATGTAAAGACGGCACTAACCTGTCGTTTTCTAAATTTGAGTTTCACGGTCTGTATAATCCCCTGATCCATTGGCTGTGTCTTGGAGGTGGTGTTAGGTGGGAAAAATTTGACCGTTATGTTACTGAGCGTCAATGCGGGATGAGAGGGGGCATTATCCACAAAGAGTAGAATTTTCCTATTCTGGCGTGTCATTTGTTTGTTTAAAAGTTTTAACCACTCTTCATAAATAGCACTGGTCATCCAAGCTTTCTTATTGAAGCGATATATCACAGGCAAAGTTTTGGGATCAAGTTTTTGAAAACATCTTGGCTTACGACATTTACCGATGACAAGTGGCTGTAATTTTTCTCCTGTCATACTTGCGCATAGAGCGATTGTAATCCTTTCTTTTGACCTTTTCCCACCTGCACAATCTTGTCCTTTAATGTGAAAAGTTTTCCTAGTAGTATCTTTAAAGAATAAACCGGATTCATCCATATTAAAAATGTTTTCTCTAGAAAATCCCTCGCACAGTGTAGGTAATTTTTTTTCCAGTCATCAACAGTACTGTTGTTCACATCTCCCCGCTCCCCGCTCATTGTCGCTAAAACGATGTTGTTTCTTTTTAGGAAACTTTCTAACCACCCATTCGATGCTTTAAAAGTGTCTTTGTTTAAATCTTTAGCGAATTTTAAGGCTTGTTCTTTAAGAAGCCAACCGGTAACATTGACTCGTCTGTTAATGGCTCCCTTGAACCATTCGTATGTAAGTTTGTTAATTTCTTCATTCCCGGTTAAGTACCGTCGTCTCTTACTTTCCGCTGGGATATTATTTTCATAATCTTCTAGTATTTCAGCTTTTCTTTTCCTCAAATTTTGTATCTGTGTTTTTCCAACACCGTAATCTTTAGCGATTTTATACGCGGGATTCCCAGCGTCTAACAGTCTAATAGCCTCTATCTTTTGTTGCAAGGATAACACAGTGCGCTTGGGAGAAGCCATGAATCTCGCACACAGGCTTAAAATACTCTGAACTCAATAAAATCATTGTTGAAATTTATAGTCATTGTTGAGATTTACTCACTATCGAGTTATTCTAACAAGATTTATTGCCTTGGAGCAATATTGAGAAAAACGGCTTTCAGTAGAACGATTCATGTAAATTACTTTTTGTCTCGCCTGCGACGAATGTCGCGAAGCGAGACATAGCGACCATAGATTCCGTCGTCGTCGTCGTCGTCGGCGTCCAACTTTTGGTTAACCCAAATGTCAAAGTTTTATAAACTGCAATAACTTTCTCAAATTTTATTCAGTCTTCTTGAAATTTGGACACAATATTCAGTATGGATAAAAATTTATATCCCAAGTATGATTTTGAAAAAAAAAATTCAAATTTTTCCGTATTTTTTCCTTAAGTTGGACTTAGTTTTTTCATGATAATTTATGGTGAAGACCTATATTCCAGCAACTATAAGTTATAGGGATATGATAATTAGTCAGTGGATACATCATGGGTAACCACAAACGTCAGTACCAGAATTAGGTCATCTTGACCTACATTTTTCTGCATGAGTGACTTTGGTTAAATTTTTGGTGGAGGTCCATATCTCAGCATCTATAACTTATAATGGCATGATGATTTGTCATTGTACAGGTTATAAGTAACCAACAACATCAGTACCAGAATTAGGTCATTTTGACCTACATTTTTCTGCATGAATGACTTTGGTTAAATTGATAATGGAGGTTCATATTTCAGCAACTATAACTTATAGTGGCATGATAGTTAGTCAGTGGATACATCATGGGTAACCACAAACGCCTGTACCAGAATTAGGTCATCTTGACCTACATTTTTCCGCATGAGTGACTTTGCATAAATTTATGGTGGAGGTCCATATCTCAGCAACTATAACTTATAGTGGCATGATAATTTGTCAGTGGATACATCATGGGTAACCACAAACGCCTGTACCAGAATTAGGTCATCTTGACCTACATTTTTCCGCATGAGTGACTTTGCATAAATTTATGGTGGAGGTCCATATCTCAGCAACTATAACTTATAGTGGCATGATAATTTGTCAGTCTACACATCATGGGTAACCAACAATATCAGTACCATAATTAGGTAATCTTCACCTACATTTTCTGCATGAATGACTTGATACATATACAGTGGATTTGATTTCAAAATGCAAGTTCAAATTATTGCGACTCATAACACGTTGCAATATTCGCAATAATAAAAACATCACAATAATTTGTGAATTTACAGGGTATATGTATATATATATAAATGCCAATATAATCGCCAAGGGATTAGATATTAAGTCAGCTGTTCCATTTCTTTATTATTGTATTTTTGAGTTATTCCTTCTGAAATGTCAATAAATGCTTCAGTTTATCAGACAATCATTTCTTACTAACCACAGCGACAGCAGGCGAGACACAGGGTTGCGGGCAACCCTTACGTACTTTTGTTTTTATTAACTGGAATGAAAAACATTTAAATCTTTCACATATTTTAACAAAAAGTATGGTTTTTAATTTTATCTACTTAGAATTATCTATTTTCATACTTATGCAAACTTGTTTATTTACTAAGTTACGTAAATGATTGACTATTGAGTGATAGGAAAGATAACTCTTGCAAAAGCAAAAGCAAGAGTTGTTAAGAAAGATAACTCTCGGAATCATCACGATCGATTAAAATCGAAAGTAGAAATCGAAAACACAAAGTCGCTAAATCAAGGTAAAATTGCATGAAATCAACCAATCTGGCTCTGAAAATCACGGTCGTAGGTCGCGTAAGACAGGTGGTCGTTTAATTCAGGTAAATGATGTAGGATTTCTCTTGGGGGGGATTTTTACGGTCACATGTGACAGTGGGTCGCTTAATACAGTGGGTCGCTATGACAGTTTTGACTGTATATATATATTGCATGTACATTTTTATAAAATAACTTATTTTTAGGCATTTGAGAACAAAACAAATGAACAAGTGGATGACTTGGATCCCTATGAATCCTGATCACTGTTACTGATATACATACTACCAGTCATGATCTACCCACCTTGATATTCCTCCCTCCGATCATAACACTGTTCATTTGTTCCAAGGCTAGCTGTGCCGCCTCGGGAATCTCGTATTCAATGAAGGCGAAGCCCTTGTGTTTGTTGGTGACAGGATCCCATGACAGGTTAACACTCTTTATTGGACCAAAAGGAATGAAGGCTTGTTTGATTGTGTCTTCCTTTATCTCAAAGTTAATGCTGCCCACATAAATCCTGTAATGGAAATAGGTTCAATGTTAAACTCCCATCTTTGAACAAACTTCAGATGTTTTGAAACACATTTTCACTTGGAAAACACGTGTTAATTACTTTGTTTTACAAGAGGCCAATAGACCAAAAATTTACATACCACTGCTTATCTTGAGAACTAGAATTTCAGAATTTTATTATCATACTGTATACAGGGTTATTTTCTCTCCATTCTCACTTCTAAACAATTTTGCCCTGGTTAAATTGGCCCAGACACAGTTGTACTAATTTAAAATATAAGGCTGTCTTCAATTTATTTGCCCCATTATAAAATGGACCAATTGCAACCATAAGTCTCTGATGAAACTGTAGCTCTACTGGTCTCTATGTATAACAAAGGAAAAGTAGCACTTGGATTTGAAACTTTGCAACAGGCAGCAATTAACAGAATTATCATGCATCTTAATGTAGTATACTTGTGTGTCAAGTAATACTGAAATCAGACCAAAACTGTAGGAGGAATAGCATTTTAAAGGAATTTCACAAAAATTTCTATTTTTAGTAACCATGGCAACAGCGTTCATTGAAATCAAAAACTGATGCCCTAAATCATGTATCGTAGTATAGTCTACTTGTGTGCCAAGTTATATTGAAATCAGGCCATAACTGTAGGAAGAGTAGCGTTTTGAAAAATTGTTTACAGACAGACGGACGAACAACGGACACCTTACTATCGCACAAGCTCTTATGGTATCTAACCAGTACAGCTAAATAAGGCAAGAAAACCAACTCATTATTTTATCAACTAATCATAGTGATAGATTAGTGATACAAGTGAGCCAATAACAGAGGTGAATATAAGAGCCTATGTTAGTGTTTAATACGAACAAAGATGAATTCCAACTTACCGACACATCAAAGCCAGAGCCTGCTGTCTTTGAACCGTTGTTTGGAAATTCTGCATTTGCTACATGAATAAATACAAAGTTTAAATACAGTGTAGAATAATCTTTATAGCATCCACAATGAAACTCAAGTGTTTTAACAGAACGATTATAATCTTTAATGTGCAAAAAATGGATGGTCAGTTGAAGTTACAGACAACATAAAGTACCCCCCCCTCCCCCCACCATAGCTAAAAGCAGCTTTTAAGATTAATTTCTAACCCAACACCTCAACCCCTTCTTGCCGACTAAAGGTACTAAAACTGAAATGGTCTGAGTTCTGGTTGTAGCATGCATCTTTATATGCATGTTTAATGTTCTTTTTTTCTATATAGAAGTTTTAGAAAATGTAGTCTACAACAGATTTCCCTAATACCTCACCTGCTGTTGATGGGCGATTGTCTGTTTAACTAGGACACTTTTGATGCTCTGCTCAAAGGCATATTTCTTGGCTTTCTGCACCAGTTCATGTTGGGATGAAGAGAGTTTGGGAAGAACAAAGGGTTTTTGGTCCCGTTTGGCCCCTGGTCCTTCCAGAATAGATCCAATCTGTTCAGCCTGTGGTATGTAAACTCCATTCTCTGTAACAATTAAAAAAAAAGTAAATACAAGTTCAAAATAATCTCACAATTGCAATGGAGAATCTGTTTTACCAAAAACCCCTATGAAAATTTGACAGTTGCTTACATTTTAAATCTTTTTTTAACTCCATCACAATTTTATACTCAGTATTTATGTGTATGTTTATGTGTATGTATTAAAAAATTTACTATCAGTTGATTTTTTACCTCCCGCAAAAGCCCTTTTTCATCAGAAATTTGTTTTAGACATGTATGGTGAAGTGAATATGAAGTCTTGGTCTAGTATTTATTGAGACTGCCATTAGTATTCAATTAAAATTAATTTTTCACCCCCCCCCCCCATTTTCAGAAAAGGAGTGACTTATGCGAGTTTAAAGATAATGTTGTAAGATTCCTAAATTTTCCCATTTTGAAGATAAATATTTGTTGATTATTTATAAATCCTTGCCAATATTTCAAGAGTTTTGAACAATAAATAGACATTTCCACCAGACTCCTTAAAAACTTAGACAGCCTCATCTCTTTAAGGTAAATCTATTTTCATACACATGTACATTTAGTATTTTGTGTATCAATAATGTGAACATTTTTCTATGTGCAATAACTGTGTGTACATATATTCTGAAATGAAAAACAAATGACCAGGAAAAAATTCTCTCAGCAGAAAACTTTTCTGTAAACATTCTTTACCGCTACGCTCCAGTGGAGGATGTCTGATTCATGTTGTCATGGCAACACAGCATCATGAAATATTGGTCGCCACATGAAAAGGGGGTCACCCTCATTTTTTCCTTTTTACATGAAAAACACAGAAGGAAAGAAAAGAACCATGGGTGAGTGTTCATCAGGCAAAATATTCTCAACACATAAATGCAAGCATTGCAAAATACACTTTCCCTGTCTATGCATCTGGCATTTTTTGCAAATTTCATAATCAGGACCACATTTTTATTATTTTATCACCCTAAAAACCAAACAAAGGACTAAAAAGAATTTTCTTTAAGTGGGCCATGTTTTGTGCCTTTAATACTTACCATCCTTTCATAGGGGATATGATTGCACAGTGTGTGCCCATGTCATGGACACAACTATTAAAAATATTCAGAATTCAAAAAATAAATCTTGCAACTTTCTGCTTAACATACATGAGGGTAAATATTTATCAGACACTCGTGAGTCTATAAATTCAAAGGCACAAAATAAAATATGAAGATTTGCAAGAAAAATTAAGTCCACTTTATGAGTTGAATTTTTTCTCATGGGATGTCCACATTAATGCACATTTTCTCAGATTTCGTCACATTAAATTCAAGAGAGGAATGTTTCACCTGAAATAAACAATGCATACAGCATTCTAAAAAATAATTAACTCTCTAGAAATCGAAAAGACAGAACAATTAATTCATGTTTAAATATTCAGATACTTCTGAAGTATTAGTAGATATTAAACATTCTTTTCCCTTCTTGTCTGGCTGAATTCTGCAAATACAAACAGAGAGGTTATATGGAAACATGCACACCATCTCACACTTTCACTCATAACAACCAATTCTACATACACAGTTTATTTAACTTTTGTTAAGTGTCTTGATGTGAAAAATCTTTCAATATTCATCATGTTCGTGTACTTCTAAATATCATCATGATCATTAAAATTTTGTTTCTGTATACTATTTACAAAGTATGCTTATGTGTTTCATTAAAATAGCAATAAAAAAGGGTTTAAACATAATCATAACAGTGTAGATGCATGAGACTCTACTAGTAAGCAAATGATATGAAACTGATGGCATTCGCTGGTAATCCATGTGGGTATTCCTGCAAAGTGCACGCTTTCTTCCCTGCGATACTTGTTAGAGGACGACTGAAAGTACAGAGAGAAGAAGGGAAAAAGACACATTAAGTCTCTGTCCATCAAAAAAATCTTCAATATCATATGGCAATGTCAAAAGTCTATTTTCATCTTTTTTTTTAATTTTCAGTAAATATAATTTATTATTTTAGACTTCAGAGACCCTCAACTGAAAAACTTGAATAACTTTCTCCCCATTAAAAAAAAAAAAAGTACCCTGAAAGAATTTCTATAATTTTCAGACTTTTTGTTTTTAGACTACCATAGGTTATGGTTATGTTAAAATGATATGCAGTTAAAAATCTTCTGAATATTTTTAGGGGCAAAAAGAGTTCCTGATGCTGACTCAAGACTTGTCTTGAATTGCTACAGTTCTGGACGGTGGTGAATTCCAATGTAGCAGGTTTTCGTAAGTCTACTGTCTTCAATGGATTTCCAGCTTTTCTCCTCTGATAACTCAGCCTATATTACTCACAAAATACAAAAAAGAGAGTGTCCTTCAATTCATGGTTGTACTTTAGTACTAACAAGGTGATTTACCAACCATACATTCAGTCCTCTCACAAACTCATAGCAAATACACACTAGTATAACACTTCACTAAACATTTTAGAGATTTTTAAGGAAATTTTTTTCCTTTTATATTTTTCTATCAAACATATTTCTTTTTTAAAATGTGTGCATTTGCTGTACAGAATTCAATCTTCCAAACCCGACAATCATTCTTTGGAACAACAGGTATCTCACATGAACACAATGGTACACACAACACTCTTCATAGTTCACAATTCCAGTTTTTATTTACATACATCTTCAAAAACAATTTTTGACAGTATATAACAAACAATGTAGTTCAATATGTGTTCAATATCCCCAAGTTTTACCATCTACTGTATACTTTATATAAAACAATAGCATGTACTGCATGGGTTTATCTTTAAGTGACATGAAAACAGTATCATCTATTTTAATGTCACTTGCTGAAAAACCCCTCTCTCTTGTTGCCATACCTAGCATAAGTTCTTCATCTGTCTTTATTCTTTTAGCTTCTGTTGGACCATTTTCCTGTTTAAAAGAAAAGATGAATAAGATTTAAACATACAAGCAACTTGCATGATTAATCTATGAATATTTTACATTATGCAAGCTCCCAGGTATCTGTATTTAACTCTGAAGTAGGGAGTAAAACTGAACAAAGATGTCAAAGAAGGTGGATCCTATATGTGAGCACCAAGGGCTTTAATCTGTTAGGTAGACTACATGTATTTGAAGTCTGAGTAAGTAAAAATAACGCAGATAAAACTTTCTATTATTTATATTGTACATTATTTCCTACCAACCTGGACTAGAGGCAGAATTCATACTGTGTGTTGGCATTGTGGCAAAGTTAAAAGGGGCATGTAATTCTGAGCCTTCACCATGATTAGAACTTAGAATACATTCCATATAGTTCATTAGTTGTTATGTAGCAAATGCGAGCAGGTCCACTCCAAAATCATGAGAAAGATTTTGAAAATACAAATGGAGTTGTGCAGAAAATAACTTACTTAACAATCAAAATAATCAAAACAAACTTTTTTAACATTGTATATATGCCTTTTATCATGTTTATCCTAAAAATATCCAAATAAAGACGAAAATTCAACTCATATGTTCTTAACGTTTTTCATTGATTCAAATTGACACACCATGTTGATATTAAGAACTCTCTGTATTGTTTATCCTCATAGTAAATGCTCTGAACTCAAGTCATCACCTGTCTTTATTTTGCCACATTGCCAACATGGAACAGATTCTATCATTAAGGTGGCTCATTACATCCACAGTTTATTTTAGATTTCAATACAGCACCATTTATAATGTAGATGTCAAATATCCAGATGGGAGTATTGATATCATAAATATTTTTTATAGAATTTTTTAGTTTTTGATTTATTTTAGTGAAATGTTTTATTTCAGGTTTATTATTCACAGAATTTCAGAACTTTCAGTGTCAAATGATGGGCATCTTCTTAAGACAAGTACACAAAGTGAAAATACCTCATAATACCTGATAATAATTTTATTAGAAAAAATAATTTTCTCCTAAAAAACAATTAATGTCATTATCTTTTTAATCTATGCATAAAACGTTTAAAAAGTGTGTTCTGAAGAGACAAGGAATGTATTTCAATGAATCACATGTGTCAAATTGAATGAAGAATGTTTAAACGAAATGAAAAATCCAATTTAAAAAATATTTGGTTTAAAAAGTCCACTTTCAAGAGTTATCTTTCCTAATTAGCCAAGACTCAAAACACAATGGAACGTTTGACATTACATCTGAAATTTATATTAAAGCTTTAAATTGCCAGAGTATACATTTAAAACAATTAAACAAATGTATAAATTAACACCAACACAGTAAATAGCGCAATTAAAGTAAATTTTAATTTCAACAAGGTTGTAGATTTTAACTCGAATTTCTTCCACACATAGATGTCAGTGATTGATAGAGTTCACTGCATGCATGGCTATGAAATTGACATTACTTGTTTGGCGAAGATTTGACTGTTACTTTCTTTTGTTTCTGCCTAAAAGCAATTCTTCTTGGTTTATGCATAACGAATCCGTTACTTTGTTTTCACTGTTTACAATACCGCATGTTTCATCTATTTTTAAAGCGTTTTAAAGGTCAGGGTCATATTATAGAGGTTCCTACACTACTCGTTCCCTGAGCTAACCGACCGACACAATGGAGGTTTGTTTTTTTGTGTAGTACGTCATCAAAAAGTGGTGTAATGAGCCTCCTTAAAATGGGTCATAGGACAAAATCATTTTGACATTCTATCTAATCTTTACTTTGTAATGTAAACATACATAAAAGTACTTTGCCATTTGTTTGTCAATACCTTTTCTTTGGGGAAAGCGAAAGGATGAGAGTGGTGCTGTTTTATGAGTTGACTCAATTATGTACTTTAACCCAGATAACAAAGGAGGAAAAGTAGTTTATTGTCTTGTTTTTAGTTCTATCTGGATCAAGTACTTACATTGTGAAAACGTTTTGAGTTAGGCCTATAGTACGGAAAAATCTTAAGAGTAGACAAAGTCTTCAACATATCACAAATCAAACCTTAAACCATTTTGATATTAATCGGCAATAATAAATCCTGTTTGTGATTTATGCAGATATCATCTATATAAAATAATAATCATGATTTCTGTAAATATGAACACCACACGTGCCATACCCTGTGGTATATATGTATCTCTACAATCTCTCTCTTCTTTAACCCCAGCCATAAATATGAATTAATTTCCATATAGTTTATTTAACATCAATACCAGGCATTACCTGCATCATGTCTCCATTTATTTGCTGAGTTTGTGGCACAAATACAGGCGGTGGAATCACGGCGGCCATTTTCTCGAATAAGCTCGAGAATCTCGCGCGATTGCTTATTCGGTAATTTCCGTATATACGGAAACAGCCGATTCCCGGGGATGTAGTCTTCTCGGCTCTCTGTACGTAAATCTCCGACTAGCAGAGAGGAAAGCCAACAGAAACAAATTTTATGTTTCATTAATTAGATCTGAAAATATTTACAATGAATGATTACAGAAAATCAAATGAAGAAAAAGCATAAAAAATGATTATTTTACCCAACATTTACTACTGAATGAAATTGAAAGGACCCAATTTATCCAATATTCTGCTAATTTGATAGGTGCTCGAGGATAGGACTCAACTTCCATATGTACCCTTTGGACTTTTCGACTTTTTTCTCATAAATTATCTTTCAATGACATACATCTGTATTTGTGATAAAATCTATACCAACAATTCGAAAAATTACCTAAAACAAAAGTTTTATAAATCTTTCCTACATTCGATATATAAAAATCATCCCTTGTTAATTTATATATAGAGAGTGGGGTAGATTTTTTTTATAAAATGTTTCTGAAATGATAGTATAGATTTTATCACAAATAATTTATGTGAAAAAAAAATCTAAAAGGAGGAGGGTGTTCCTCTCTCTCTCTCTCTCTCTCTTCCTCTCTCTCTCTCTCTCTCTCTCTCTCTCTCTCTCTCTCTCTCTCTCTCTCTCTCTCTCTCTCTCTGGAAACAAAATGGAACAGTATACTAACAGTTTCAAAAAAAAAAAATTACAACTACACTCTTCATAATCATACACTTGTCCATGAAAAATCTACCGGGGCAAAGTATTTGGGCTGTACAGTATCATCCGATCTAAATTGGGGACTACATAAACATCTCAAATATCTGTAAGAAGGCTGACAAAAATTTAGGATTCCGGATCATGCAAAGAAATCTCCATATATCACCCAGTTCAACTTGAAAGGAGAGAGCATTCATATGGAGATTTGAACAAAAATGGATGGAAGACCAGGGAGCTACAGTGCCGCCCATTGAAAATAAAACTGTATATGCACACAAAAAATGTGAGCTGTTTCTCACTTTATTTCTCCGTAATTTTCAAATTGCCATCTTAGAATATTACTAAATCAATTGTTCCTAACACATTTTTTCCAATTTCCACAACAAAACATTCCTTAGAACCGTTGTTAAGAGTCCCATGGACCTGAAAAAATTCAAACATCATCGAGAATTTCGTCTATTTGTTTTGCCATTTTGGGTGGCAAGATATGATTCGGACCAACAGGCTTCGTGCAGATGTCAACTATAAAATTAGTTATATATTGGAATCATATCTCTGTGCAGCAGAAGTAAGAATTTTAAGAAATAAATCCAGAAACGAGCACATTTTATTGTGCGTAATAAATATACACTTTTATCATTGGGTGCCACTGTAGCTCTTCGGTCTGTCAATAGACCTTTATTATACCCCCCGCTTGAAAAGTGGGTGGGTATATAGTAATCGTTATGTCCGTCTGTACGTCCGTCCGTCCGTCTGTTACGCTTTGGGGTACCCATCTCTTATCCGCAACTCCTCTTATACTACTGAGTGAAATTTAATGAAACTTTCACAGAATCTTTATTACATATTGCCATTGTCATGATTGTGCACCTTCTATTTTACTTTTTTATTCGACACGTATTTTAGGTTTCCCATAGCAAAACATGGACATTGCCATCATATTCTTACCTATGACGTCACATATTGCGGCTTCTGAATAACATTTGATACGACGAGTTATTCCTCTTTACACATTACCGTAAAACAATATATAGCAAAGCATGGACATTACGGAAGGCGGGGGTATCATTTATAGAGCTCATTGCTCACAGTACCTCTAGTTTTTTGTTGTTATACCCCCCGCTTGAAAAGCGGGAGGGTATATAGTGATCGGGATTTCCGTCCGTCCGTCGGTCCGTCTGTTACGCTTTTTCTCTTATCCGCAACTCCTCTTATACTACTGAGTGAAATTGAATGAAACTTTCACAGAATCTTCATTACATATTGCCATTGTGCACCTCCTATTTTACTTTTTTATTCGACACGTATTTTAGGTTTTCCAGCAAAACATGGACATTGCCATTTTTTGTTTACCTATGACGTCACATAATAGAAGCTTCTGGATAACATTTGACGGGACGAGTTATTCCTCTTTACACATTACCGTAAAACAATATAAAGCAACACATCGACATTATGGGAGGCGGGGGGTATCATTTAGTGAGCTCATTGCTCACAGTACCTCTAGTTTTTTTGTTGTTTTTTTTTACGGAGAGCTACAGTTGCATGAGCCTGGAAAAATTCAAACATCATCGAGAATTTCACCCGTTTGTTTTGCCATTTTGGGTGACAAGATATGATTCGGACCAACCAGCTGCAGCTATATATCCATGAAAAAGATCCTTCAGTGGTCAATGACCATAGACTGGAGTGCCTCTATGTGTTTGCAGACTTTCCTAATTTGTCGGTAATATTATTGAAGTGGGTGATATATTTCAGAACAGATATATACATGAAACAAGCAAACAGACATAAAAGTCATTTATTTTTATGTAAAGCTTTGATGGTCCCATGTACATCATAGCCCCAAAGACTACTTTTTAAAACAAAAAAAACGTACATGTACATTACATAAACTCTGATATATGTACTTCATTCAATGTTCTCTCTCTCTCTCTCTCTCTCTCTCTCTCTCTCTCGTACACTGTAACTTTAATACAGACCCTGAGACGTGCTACTACCCCACACGCTCGCTGCACGAACGGTACACGAACGCTACACGGTTTGCACGAAACGCTGCACGGTTTACACGAAACGCTACACGGTTTGCACGAAACGCTGCACGGTTTACACGAAACGCTACACGGTTTGCACGAAACGGTAAGCGCACGAAAGTCACACGCTTTTTTGGGGTAGTAGCACGTCTCAGGGTCTGTACGAACAAAGTTTGAACAAAAGAAATACTCAATACAGTATATATACAATAGTCATGTACATTGTTCAGCTATGATCAAGATCGATTTATCTTCTTGTTGGACAAAAATTGTTTAAAAATCGTTTTTAATTTTATACTTTTATAAATACATGTATCTGAAAGTGAATATAAAAATATTTGGAACTAAACATTGATAAAATCATTTTCTATAAATCACAGGTGTCAGAGCCCCTGGACATCTTAAAGGACCCTTTTTTTCAAAAAACGTTTAAATTATAAACATTGCTTTACGGATGTACAGTTTAAAAGATAAAGCATCAAGAAATGACATCTTTTCTACAATCGAGTTATAAACTGCCATAAAGGAAATGGAAACATTATACTGTCAGAAAAAGCGCCACCAGCATGGTAACCATTATATATAAAGCTGACTTCAGATCCGCCCCTCCATTTGGTTGCATGTCGCACACAGAATCTGGGACAGGGTCTGCAGAGTTAGTGTCACTCAAAACACTAGACTGAATCCCAACCCAGTATGTGTTGAAGTTTTGCACTACTGTAGCGCTGAAAAAAGAGAAAACGGCGATGAAGGAGGAGCGTTCATATCAATAATGTACAGCACACTGATCATGTATCAAGTAGAAGTTTGAAAAGTTTAACAGGTCCTAAATTAGCTTACCGAAAGTACACATGGCCTAGACTCGCTGCAGGAGTCCAGTAAAACTCTGCCTGGGTTTTGTCATTCCTGTTGGTATGTGTTACAGCACTCTAAGAATAAAAAACAATACAAATTAAAAAAAGTTGTTGAACAACTAAATTAATTATTAAAATTGGACACAAATGGTTGCCATGGTTTCATAAAGCATTGTGGCCCGATCTAGTCTCAAGCCTTGAATTTACACTATGAGTTAAAGCTTTTATATGTTTCATCTTTACTTATCTAGTAGTGATTAATTATGAGAAGATATTTTTTAGAAAAAGATGCCATTAATTTTTCATTAACTGTTCATGATCCTTTCTTGAAAGAGGGTGTGTCTATTCATTTGAACAAACTTGAATTCCCTTTCCTAAAGAATCTTTTTTGACAAGTTTGGTTGCAATTGGACCGGTGGTTCTTGAGCAGCTGAATCTGTGACAAGGTAGTGCACAGATGACAGAAGAACTCTGGATTTTTTTAGCCTTCGGAAAAAAGTTCACGAAAAGCTCGGCTTAAAAAGGAGAGAAAAGAATGAGGTGCACGGTTGTCTAGTCTTTGACATAGTTTAAACCAAATGGGTCAAATGGTATGGTAAATTAATACCGGTATATCCGGTCACCGGCAATGAAAATGACTATAGGTATCATCACCGGAAAAATAACTCATTGAAGAGTTACAGATCATCGTGTCATATTCCGGGTGTCATGAAAAACGATTTGTCATTCTGATTCATACATGAACTTTGATGTTAAAGATGTATATTTGAAGTTAGGCTTGATTTTTTTTTACATTAAGACTTTTAAGTTAAGAGTATATGGATCGAAGCTTTTCTTTCTCTCGAATCTAAATATGCATAATTTAGCAAATATATTCAAACACACATAATGATGAGAAGTACATTTTTTTTAATTTCTGCTTTGTGAGGGTTTTTTTTTTCGAAAAGAAAGAAAAGAATATCATTTTAAGGTGGTCACTAAAACAATAAACTGTCATTTTCATTCACGCTATAATATTTCATACAGTTTCCTATATATTTTTAATTATATACAGAGCTCTGTGAAGTTCATTTATAAATTAGATTTATTAGGCCCAGACCCAAGTACACTTTGCATACCCCATAATATCACTCAACGACCAGGAAGTCTAAATAACCGCAGTATATTTCATCATCTAATTACAGAAGGCACTACATTAGACAAGGTTTAGAAGTTTTTGGAATGAAGTGCAGCCGAAATACCAAAGAGCAAATGTATGATATCAGAACAAAAAAAATTGAAAATAGAAGCATTAATTTTGTAAATACAAATCACATGAAAAGAGGACAAAGAGGGTTGACAATTGAAAAGAAAAAAAACTCCAAAATCCGAAACATCTGCAAAAATGTAGATTGCTGTAAATGTCCTAAGCTTGCTGTAAGAGCTATAATAAACATACTCACATTTGCTACACTATTACAGTCCAGAGTCTGGAAGTTTGATTCATTGGCCATCAGAGAAAATGTAGGAAACGTAACGGTCGAGCAGTTTGCCGGACGGGCCTGAACTAGCAATCCTCTGAAAGTCCCGCCAGACACAGTGACTTTGAAAATAGGAAAACAAAATTAATTAAGCAGTGTATAATTTTAATCAGTACATATTTAATTGCGCAGTAACTTTTATCAATACTTAGATGTATGCTCTTTTAAGAACTTCTGAGATGAGTACAATCTATCAAAGAGGAGGGGCGTACCCCAACCATTTTATAAGTATAAACTTTTTTATCGCAGTTTAATTAAAGTCCTTGTCCTTTGACAGTTTGAATTAACAGGAATTTCTTTGACCCCCTCCCAAAAATGACGAATTTTCCCGGTCCTGATATTTTCAATGTACCCCACTATCTGGGGGGGGGGGGGCAACAATACCCAACAACTGAGGAGAAAGGGTGAATTAAAAGAAATATGCACATACTTGCGATGCGATTTCCAGGTGAGTAACGTTCATTATTCAAAGTCATTCGGTATGGCGAGGGCCCGGTTTGCACGGCCGCTCCGTGGCCGGGAGTCATTGTCTCACAAGCGCCCACACGTGCTCCATCCGGGTATCCATAGACAACAGTCGTGAAGCAAGTCAGGCAAAGAATCACGGACTGCATTCTGAAACGTAATGTGACAAATGCAAACAGGTATGTTCGTAATAGAAAAATCATTTTCTTAAATAGTACAAACTATATTTTTTGCAACTCGACAAAAGGTTTAACAATAAATTTTTGTGGGGTTTTTGTTTTTCATTCAGTTATCAATAGCCATTCGATTTAAATAGAAATGAATAGATAGCAAAGTATATTATCTGATCTATCATAAAGCAAAGTTTAAAAAAATGAACAAATATCTATTTACATTAATTTTTATAGATATCACAAAATTACCTTATTAAAGTGCTAAACATCTTTGCCTTTCGAAGATAGACTAAAAATGACAGGTTTTGCAAATTTCAAAGTTTATATGTACCAGACAAGTAGGTATATCCTATGCTTTCATTGGTGTACATGTACCGTGTGACGTTGTCAATGCGTATACCACTTACGCCTAACATTAACCAAATACATTAGACATCATACAGTTATTGACTGGGTATCAATACACACTATATTATCAATTACTTTATATGAAAAATCATGGCTTAATCAGGAAGTATAAAACAATAGCTGAGAAAGAACAAAATTAATTATATTTTTATTATATCACAAAAATTATTTATTGCAAAATATATACTCTTCCCTTCTTCCTTCCTATTAGCAACAACTCTTTACAGCTCTTAACTTCGGCTATTTCCGTGTCGCCGATATTGAACGATGATTAATTACTTGTGACGTAGCAGTGACGTTGCAGTCTAACAATTCTTATGTTAACCGGCAGGCCGGTCAACAGTGAAATTGTTAAACCGATGTAATAAACATTTCTTTTGTTGGACTTTTTATTAGTAATAAATATATAGAAAGCTATTTATACGGGTATAACAAACATACATGTACGCACATTAGGCATAAAGCTTTAAAAAAAGGATGCTAGCAAAAAATATCGACTGTTTTTATGGCCCCATAATCGAAGAGCACATGGTGTATAGTTTTTTGCCGTGTCCGTCCATCTGTCCGTTTGTCTGTGTAGCTGTTTTTCTGTTTAAACTTTAACCTTGTCCATAAATTTTGATTGGTTGAGACTACCAAAGGGCTGTCATATTTCATATGTGTATTCCCGGTGATAAGACCTTTCTTTTTGGGCACCATCACATTTGAAATTTTGACTTAGAGTCTAGCCCAGTTTTGCAAAATTTGAACCAACTTTAACCATGTCCATAACTTTTTTCAAAATCTTGGGCAAGGACTTTCTTACTTCACAAATTATGACAAGGTCTTCCTTCAGATACAAGAAACGTTGACCCTTTGGCCTTGACTTTGGAGTTTGACCTACTTTAAGAAAATACTTTTAACTTGGCTATAACTTTTGAACGATCAGGGCTAGGGCTTTCATGCCTCAATTATGTAATCCTTCTGACAAGACCTTCTTTTAGATACCAACAACTTTGACACTTCGTCCTTGACTTAGGAGTTTTACCTACTTTTAAAGACTTTCACCTTTGCAATAACTTATGAATAGGTTGTAATAAGGCTTTCATATTTCACAAGTGCACACGTATTAATGTGAGAAGATCTTCTGTTAGATACCAATATTGGATTTGCATTTGAGAAAGTTTAACTTTTGCAATTAACAGCACGCCCTATTACCGACAACTGGAACTGCCGATGCAACTGGGACAACAGACGGCAAAGTTGTTTTTCGCTATGACAGAGGCCGCATTGATATAATATTTTTAACTATTTATAACATTCTTTTACTTTCGTTTAGTAGATTCCCGTTTTGAGCTTATCTTAAACTATTTTTCTGTTGAATATAAATTTAAGATTTCTTCTTGAAACAAAATAAGAATAGAATAAAATTAAATTTCAATCATTGCTCAAGAAAAATTGATCAAACTTTAGCTATTCAGTAATTTACTAGTAATCAAAACTGCTACACCATGATCACATTTCTTGCTGTATATCATAAATTTAGGCACTCTATGGCATAACTACAAAATGTGGATAGTCTTTGTTGTTATCGGCCGCAGGAGCGACCGATCTATTTGTGGTTGTGTTAGAAAGTGCACATGGGGAAATGAGACGTTATTTTTTATTACTTCACTTAAATTTTTTTAAAGTGAAAACAAGTAAAAACATGAAAAAAAAGATTTAAAACTTGCCTTAAACGTAGCATTAATTGTTGTTATTATGTTTCAATTTCATTATTATTTCTCATCAGATAATTTACAATTTTTGGATATAAATACTAGTAAGTGTTTACAATAGATACTCCCCAGGCTTGGAGTGTGGAAGATATGAAAGGAAATCGTAGTGATTTTCGGGATAATAATGACGTGGTAAAAGTGTACGGTGAATAAAAATTGAAAAGTTTTTCAACTGGTAAAAATTGCTTTGAATATGCTCTATAGCTGCAAATGACACAAAGATATTTTTTGTACATTTTGCACCGCGGCTTGCAGCATATAGCCTACTCGCAGAAACCATGGGCATTAATTATCACGTGACCAAGATCCAGGGTATCAGCACGTGGTTCTGACATGTTGAGAGGCCTACATCTTCATTTTTATGACAATAAATTCTTATCATTTATCATTGACTTTTTTCACACACTGAAAGACCAGAAGTCTCTGTCGAGACTGTAGCTCTACTGGTTTATACTTAAAACAAAGGAAGAGAAAAGTAGCAGTTGGGACTTGAGACTTTAAATCAGCAATAAATAAAAAAAATTATCCTTGCCACTCATCAAAATAAAAACTGATGCACAGAATTATGTATCTTAGTATAGTCTACTTGTGTGCCAAGTTATACTGAAATCAGATAAAAACTGTAGGAGGAGTAGCATTTTGAAAGAATTTCACAGAAATTTATAATCTTAGTAACCATGGAAACACCGTTCATCGAAATCAAAAACCGATGCAAAGAATTATGTATCTTAGTGTAGTCTACTTGTGCGCCAAGTTATATTGAAATTGGATCAAAACTGTAGGAGGAGTAGCATTTTGAAACAATTTCACAAAAAAATTCTATTTTTAGTAACCTCGGCAACACCGTTCATCAAAATCAAAAATCGATGCACAGAATTATGTATCTTAGTGTAGTCTACTTGTGTGCCAAGTTATACTGAAATCGGACCAAAACTGTAGGAGGAGTAGCATTTTGAAAAATTGTTTACAGACAGACAGACGGACGGACGCCGGACGCATTACTTTCGCATAAGCTCTTCTGGTCTCTGACCAGTAGAGCTAAAAAAACCTAGTGAATTTAACTACACTGTAGTGTGTTTCGTAAAGCGTTGGTCGTGATTAGTAAACTTTCAGTTTACTAATTAAGATAGTGAGTTGTGGAGCGGGGGTCGTATAGATACTTAGATACCTAGTGAAAGTTACTCATCAAATTCTAAATTTGCTAATCTTATCTAGTAAATATACCAATATCTGGTAAAACTACTATTAAGGTAGTGATTGCATGGACAAGGAATCTACTAGTTTTCTTTTCTTCGTAACATTAACTAGTTATTTTTTTTACAGTGCATCGACGAATTTACGTATGAACAAGTGCGGTAAAATGTCTATTTATTTAATTTTTTTTTTAATATTTATTTTGCTTTGAAGACAGCCTGAAAAAAATAATGATTCAACTACTTAGTATTTCACCTTTGAATATCTTGATGTGCTTTCCTTGCATGGACGCTTTTAGAATTGTGAAAAGAATTTTTTTAAAAGCTTAACTTTGTTTGCGGCCGATTTGATGCTTTGCATCAATTTTACTTGTTTAATAAATACTTGATTTTGGTGAGTCAAATTATTTTATGTGTCGTGTACGACAGACGAGGCAAACATTGACAGCAGATTTAAAAGCAAATATTGCAATCGGAAACAATGGGTACAAAGTTTGCTAAAACATAAATTTGCTGTAACTTACGCCAAAAATTTCGGAATAAATTTTTTGGCTGTTAATATTGGTTGTATGTATAGTAGTTGCTATACGGCTGCAGACTTCAGCAAACAAAAAAGAAAGAAAGTGTTCTTGAGGATTATTGCCGCTAGCTGCAATATTGCGACCAACATTACAACTACTGTTATAGGCTTGCAGCAATTTTGCAGGAATTCAAAATGTTTGCAGGAACATTGCAAAAAACATACATGCCAATTAATCCATACATGTCCAAGAAGGAATTCGATGTCGATATTGACGATATCGACCATATTATGTCGATATCGTATCGATATCGATCGTGATTAGCACTATTAATTTGAAATACTTGGTACCATATATGAGATTTTGTACTATGTCGATGTCGTCGATATCGACAATACCATGACGATATCGTATCGATATCGATCCTTTTTGTAGAATTTATTTTCACAGTGAGGTAAAACATATTTTACAAGGTCACAAGTGAAGTCAAAATCCATTAATATTAGCATGAATATGAAAATAAATTATGATAAGGGAAAAGTTAGGGGTTGTAATTGGTTTGGATTAGGTTTAGAGTAAGATGTTGGGTGAGGGTGAAAGTTGTTAAATATGTGTTAACAATCATGATTCGATATCGATACGACATCGACGATATCGACCGTAGGGTAAACTTATTAATCAGAAAGTAAATATGCACAAGCGTTGCTTCAAGAAACACAGAACTTATTGTCTTAGGATATGTTAAAAATAAAGATTTGTATTAATGTGTGTTAATGTGTGTTTGTATTAATGTAATTTGTTTTAACAATCATTATTCGATATCGATACGATATCGTCGATATCGACGATATCGATGGCAGGTACAATCGTCGTAAAAGTAAAGTAATTAAGCATAAATACAAATACAAAGTAACAGGGACGGTATTTACCAAGGGCTGAGCAAACATGATTCGATATCGACGATATCGACACTACAGGGAAAGTTTTATAAAAGATAGATTTGAGTAACACATGTTAAAAACACAATACTAGTATTATAGATGGAAACCATAATTCTTTGAACAATCATGATTCGATATCGGCACGACATCGTGGATATTGACAGTAAGGAAGACTTCTTAAAACAAAGAGTATACTGTAATAAACACAAAAGGATAGAGAAATATGATAGTAAACTATAAAAAAGTAATGTGTCGATATCGTAACTACATCGTGTCTTGGACATAACTCAATTAATCTGTTGTTCGCAGCAATAATTTAGTTGGAAACATTCTGGAGCTTTAAGGTTTGCAGGATTTAAGTTCGCAAGAGAGTAATTAAGTCAGCACAGAATTCGCCATTTTGAAATATTTAAAGTTGTAGATATCTCAGTATTTTGGTAAGAATCCATTTCGTTTTAAATGATTACAAAAGAAAAGCCTAATTTTGGAAGCAGGTACTAGTACATGCACCTCGGTATATACATTGGTGCACACAACATCTGGCTAATAAGATACGATGGTGTCTCGTATGGTTTTGTTTTATTTTTATTATAAACTTGATGACTTTTACTTTATAATCGTCAACTTCCCTTACTTATGCAGTAATATACCTTCATCACCTACATACAGGGTTTATAACTCTCAGTTGATTTGATACACAGGAGTATGCTCTACCTAAGTGCAATTTCTAACATGAGATAAATTATTGACAAACAAGTTGATGAAAACAAGAATATCAACAGTATTGTTTAAAGTAATCATTTCATTAGTTCCATAGAATGACCTTGTCAGCAAATACAATATATCATTGATTCAAATGCTGACTGACATTTTTTCATAGTAATTGTAAGGCCATTATTTACACACTGAATTGTCGACGGATTTTTTTTATCATGACAAGGAGCAGACGGCGGGTGTGACCGGTTGGCAGGGGTTGCTCAGTCCTCTATGCATGGGACCTGTCTCCACTTCTGGTATTTTAGAGTTTTTGAGCTTCAACATTGTAAGTTACTAGTATCTCTATATCTTTCATTGGAAAATCCAATATTTGCAGCAGGTTAGCAGTAAACCTGTAAACTGTTTGCTGTTGGCTTGTCGATACTTGCCGCAAATTTGCTGCAAACACAAAAGTTTGTAAAGTCTGTCACGGTTTTTTTTTTACCTTTATTGCAGCAATGTCTGTAGCAAGTTTGCAGCAATGTCTGCAGCAGATTTGCAGCAAATTTTTGCAGAAAGACTCTATTTTATAAGGTATTCATCTATTCAGCTTCTTAAATGATAAACTATACAATCCAGAGATATCTCACCCCTAGTGTTTTTTTGTGTTTGTTGTTTAAAATCCCTCTCGAGAATTTTTCATTCATATGGAGACGCCACCACTTGCCGATTTAAAGCTGCAAATTTTGTTCTATACTCGACACTCAGTTCCATTGAGCAGTAAGGGTTCTTTTCCTTGCAAGCATCTACTGCGACACATGACATCAGTTTATAACTGATAACCGAAGGACTTGTCTCCACGTCCCACAGTGGGATTCGAAACCGCGACGTAAGGATTGCTCCTTACTTTGCGACTCTAGAGCAGACGCTCGAACCACATTTTGTATTTAGATTTTTTGGTTAATAATGTTTATCGTTCCTTTTTGTATGCTGGTGTTATAAATTAACAGATACATGTAAGGAAGATGAAGGAAAAAAGAAAAAAGTCAAGAATTTTGTTTTTATTTATTTATTTATTTATTTATTTTTTGCATTTCAAAGCCAATATAAACAATGTCATATGAATTGCCACTACAATAACTAGTAAGTCACTTTTATATTAAAATTTGTTTCATACATGTAGTTTGGTTGACTAGACGTTTTTACTGCTTGATGTTCCGATTACATATCATTTCTTTTTTATGCATAGTTGAATGTGAATGGAGTATTATGTAACAAGAGAATGCTATATTGTTAGGAATGATGCCATCATCATGATGATCAGAGACGCTACAGTTGACCTCAGATCCGCTCCTGCGTTATTACCCCCGCCTCCGCCTACCTGGTTAGTAGTGGTTCCATTCATCCCCATTGTGGTCGATGAGGTCGTAGCTGTAGAAGTTGCTGTTGTAATATCAAAACAGTTTAAATACAAAGTAGAAAATACGACAAATATTCATTGAAATTAACCTATAGAAATATAGAGGTATCTCTTCAAAGATAAATTTTGTTTAAACATTTGTTGACATTTGATACTAATCAAAAATGAGCAAAGCTTAGCCTTTTTCATTTGATTGAGGTGAATATTAATGTGCAACTTAATTGATATTTACTCTTACACCAAAGTCAAACTTTAGTTTGGCACATAGTAAGTAATAAAGTTTTATAAAGGCAAATTCAACAAAATAAATAAACTATTATGAATAATAATTTTAAGACAATCCTTACTAATTGGACAGATAGGGTCAGGGACGAGGTCAGTGGAGTTATTGTCACGCAGAACAGGGGACTCAATACCAACCCAGTACGTGTTCTGGACCTGCACTACTGTAGCACTGAAACATACACACAAAAAGATAATGTTTTCGAAATTCACACTAAAGCAAGATTAAATGATGCGCAGGACGTACAAGGATTCAATAAAGCATAAAATAAGAAAGAAATTAAAATTATATGATAAATGAAAAATAAATGAAAAATAAAAATAAAATGAATACCAGTATACATGTAATTAGCTCACCGGAAGTAAACGTGTCCCAAACTAGATGAGGGAGTCCAGTAAAAATTGGCCTCAGTTTTGTCATTCCTGTTAGTATGTGTGACAGCACTCTAAAAACCAAAGAGATATATTTATACGAATTTAACATTTTCCCTCTTCATAATTGGCTGAGATCCAACATTGTGGAAAAAATATTACGTTATGTTCACCTCTACGTGACCTCTCAGGTGAACATAAGATTTTTTTTGTACATTGGCCTAAAAAATATATTATAGACTTTTCCTCAGATGGCTCATCGTATTGACTGGAAAACATTTAAGAAATAAAGTCCGCGTTTTCGTGAATGTTACAGGATAACCTCCGAGGTCGAGAAATGTTGTTTGAAAAATAAAAGCCGAGGCAACAGAGGGAAAATTGTTTGCTTCGTGGTAGAATAAACAATAATTGTATGTTGTAAAATATTTCATAATCTGGTTTATTTGCAATTCTACCACGGTTTTTGCCGAGATCAAAGAAAAGCCGTGGACATTATTCTCCAATAAATCACGAACGTCATCAAAAAATTATCAGATCAGAAACACGTATCAAACCTGAACAATTCAAATGCATGTTTGGCTGTAGCATGAAATACTTGTTTAGATCACATTGATGTGTCGTCTTTTGCAGTATAAACACTGTTACTTGCATCAAGTTGCTGATGATTGTCGGTTTTTATAGCTAAGCGGGGCTATTCCACGGACCTCCCTACACATTTAAACACATGAATTTAGTCCCAATAGAGCAGTAAAACAGGAACATGATTTTGTTATTGTATATTCATAAAACTAATCAATACATATTACGAACAAATTTGTTATTTGTATTCCATACATAGGTAAGCAAACAAATTTTCCCTCTGGTGTTAAATGGAACAGCGTAATCGAGACATGTTGACCTAATTCGTTTCTCTATAGAGGAAACGATCAGCCGTATTTAAGCGATTTTAGTAGACATGGTAGAAAAGAAATAAAGTCCTTGTTGTCGTGAATGATGCAGGATAACCTCCTCGGTCTCGAAATGTTGTTTGAAATATAAAAGCCTCGGCTAACGCCTCGGCTTTTATCTTTCAAACAACATTTCTCGACCTCGGAGGTTATCCTGCAACATTCACGAAAACGCGGACATTATTTCTTAATTAAGTAATCACTAGCACAAAGATGTGTAATAAAAAGCACGCTGTCCGTGTATAAAAACAAGAGGCCCATGGGCCACATCGCTCACCTGAGAAGCTTTGACCATTCTGTTCTTTACCAGATTTCCCCCTTGTTATACATAATGCATCCCCACCCTACCCCACTGATCATAATTTAGACATTTTGAAATCTACACTACCCCATGATCCTTCCATGGGCACTTATGTTTCAGCTTTTTTGGCCCAGTGGTTCCTGAGAAGAAGATTTTCAAAAATTTTTCCTATATATTTCTATGTAAAACTTTGATTCCCTATAATGGCCCCACCCTTTCCCCGGGGGTCATGATTTGAACAATTTAGAATCTACATTATACCAGGATGCTTTCTCATAAGTTTCAGCTTTTCTGGCCCAGTGGTTCTTGAGAAGAAGATTTTCAAAGATTGTTCCTATATATTTCTGTGTAAAACTTTGATACCCCATTGTGGCCCCGCCCTTCCCCCGGGGGTCATTATTTGAACAATTTAGAATTTACACTACCCCAAGATGCTTCCACATAAGTTTCAGCTTTTCTGGCCCAGTGGTTCTTGAGAAGAAGATTTTCAAAGATTTTTCCTATATATTTCTATATAAAACTTTGATTCCCCATTATGGCCCCGCCCTTTCCCTGGGGGTCATGATGTGAACAATTTAGAATCTACATTATACCAGGATGCTTCCACATAAGTTTCAGCTTTTCTGGCCCAGTGGTTCTTGAGAAGAAGATTTTCAAAGATTTTTCCTATATAATTCTATATAAAACTTTGATTCCCCATTGTGTCCCCGCCCTTCCCCCGGGGGTCATGATTTGAACAATTTAAAATCTACACTACCCCAGGATGCTTCCACCTAAGTTTCAGCTTTACTGGCCCAGTGGTTCTTGAGAAGAAGATTTTTTAATGACCCAACCCTATTTTTGTCTTTTCTTTATTATCTCCCCTTGCGAGGGGATATGTCCCTTCAATTTTACAATTTAAATTCCCCTTCACCCAAGGATGCTTTGTACCAAGTTTGGTCAAAATTGGCCCAGTGGTTCTTGAGGAGAAGTCGAAAATGTGAAAAGTTTACAGACGGACAGACAGACGGACGGACGGACGACGGACAAAATGTGATCAGAAAAGCTCACTTGAGCCTTCGGCTCAGGTGAGCTAAAAAACAACTTTCCCCCAACTTTTTACAACCACCAAGATAGAAAACATGACCAAAGACAATATCACTGGAAAATAAGTACACTTAAAATCAAGGTATTAATTATTGACAGGTTATATTATTTTTCCTTCTTGTTCAACTACAAAATAAAATTATAAATACAGGAAAAAGATATGCCTTGAAGCATTAAGTGCTAATATATAGACAAAAATATGATACCTCAAAATATTAGATTTTTTGTTAGCTCGACAATACATGGTTTCCAATTTAAATTCAGGAATGCGTAACACTGTACTTCTAGTTGGATGTTTGCCAAAATATGTTTGTGAGACAACATCAGTTGAAGTAAAACAAGAGGCCCATGGGCCACATCGCTCACCTGAGAAGCTTTGACCATTCTGTTCTTTACCAGATTTCCCCCTTGTTATACATAATGCATCCCCACCCTACCCCACTGATCATAATTTAGACATTTTGAAATCTACACTACCCCATGATCCTTCCATGGGCACATATGTTTCAGCTTTTTTGACCCAGTGGTTCCTGAGAAGAAGATTTTCAAAGATTTTTCCTATATATTTCTTTGTAAAACTTTGATTCCCCTATAATGGCACCGCCCTTCCCCCAGGGGTCATGATTCCTACAATTTAGAATTTACACTACCCCAGAATGCTTCCACATAAGCTTCACTTTTTCTGGCCCAGTGGTTCTTGAGAAGAAGATTTTCAAAGATTTTTCCTACATGTGTATATATTTCTATATAAAATTTTGATTCCCCATTGTGGCCCCGCCCTTCCCCCGGGGTCATTACTTGAACAATTTAGAATCTAAATTATACCAGGATGCTTCCACATAAGTTTCAGCTTTACTGGCCCAGTGGTTCTTGAGAAGAAGATTTTCAAAGATTTTTCCTATATATTTCTATGTAAAACTTTGATTCCCCATTGTGGCCCCGCCCTTCACCCGGGGGTCATGATTTGAACAATTTAGAATCTACACTACACCAGGATGCTTCCACATAAGTTTCAGCTTTTCTGGCCCAGTGGTTCTTGAGAAGAAGATTTTCAAAGATTTTTCCTATATATTTCTTTATAAAACTTTGATACCCCATTGTGGCCCCGCCCTTCCCGCGGGGGTCATTATTTGAACAATTTAGAATCTACATTATACCAGGATGCTTCCACATAAGTTTCAGCTTTTCTGGCCCAGTGGTTCTTGAGAAGAAGATTTTCAAAGATTTTTCCTATATATTTCTATGTAAAACTTTGATACCCCATTGTGGCCCCGCCCTTCCCCCGGGGGTCATTATTTGAACAATTTAGAATCTACACTATACCAGGATGCTTCCACATAAGTTTCAGCTTTTCTGGCCCAGTGATTCTTGAGAAGAAGATTTTCAAAGATTTTTCCTATATATTTCTATATAAAACTTTGATTCCCTATTATGGCCCCGCCCTTCCCCCAGGGGTCATTATTTGAACAATTTAGAATCTACATTATACCAGGATGCTTCCACATAAGTTTCAGCTTTTCTGGCCCAGTGGTTCTTGAGAAGAAGATTTTCAAAGATTTTTCCTATATATTTCTATGTAAAACTTTGATTCCCCATTGTGGCCCCGCCCTTCCCCCGGGGGTCATTATTTGAACAATTTAGAATCTACATTATACCAAGATGCTTCCACATAAGTTTCAGCTTTTCTGGCCCAGTGGTTCTTGAGAAGAAGATTTTCAAAGATTTTTCCTATATATTTCTATATAAAACTTTGATTCCCCATTATGGCCCCGCCCTTTCCCCGGGGGTCATGATGTGAACAATTTAGAATCTACACTATCCCAGGATGCTTCCACATAAGTTTCAGCTTTTCTGGCCCAGTGGTTCTTGAGAAGAAGATTTTCAAAGATTTTTCCTATATAATTCTATATAAAACTTTGATTCCCCATTGTGTCCCCGCCCTTCCCCCGAGGGTCATGATTTGAACAATTTAGAATCTACACTACCCCAGGATGCTTCCACCTAAGTTTCAGCTTTACTGGCCCAGTGGTTCTTGAGAAGAAGATTTTTTAATGACCCAACCCTATTTTTGTCTTTTCTTTATTATCTCCCCTTGCGAGGGGACATGTCCCTTCATTTTAACAATTTAAATTCCCCTTCACCCAAGGATGCTTTGTACCAAGTTTGTTCAAAATTGGCCCAGTGGTTCTTGAGGAGAAGTCGAAAATGTGAAAAGTTTACAGACGGACAGACAGACGGACGGACGGACGACGGACAAAATGTGATCAGAAAAGCTCACTTGAGCCTTCGGCTCAGGTGAGCTAAAAAACAACTTTCCCCCAACTTTTTACAACCACCAAGATAGAAAACATGACCAAAGACAATATCACTGGAAAATAAGTACACTTAAAATCAAGGTATTAATTATTGACAGGTTATATTATTTTTCCTTCTTGTTCAACTACAAAATAAAATTATAAATACAGGAAAAAGATATGCCTTGAAGCATTAAGTGCTAATATATAGACAAAAATATGATACCTCAAAATATTAGATTTTTTGTTAGCTCGACAATACATGGTTTCCAATTTAAATTCAGGAATGCGTAACACTGTACTTCTAGTTGGATGTTTGCCAAAATATGTTTGTGAGACAACATCAGTTGAAG